CGCTTGAGGCACATTAATTGGTCACTAAACTACATTCGACAATAACATTTATTAAAACCTTATTTTTTTAACAAAACTGGCAAAAAAATAATAATATATATGGCAACTTATTTTTTGTTCTAAACCATCCAGTTCTATAACAAGAAATGGCAGATTTGTTAATTATTCTATTAGTTAGGGAAGCAAATTAATAAAAATTATACATCTTAAGAATGGTCAATCACAAAATTTAAAATTTTATTACTAGTTTTTTTTTTGTAAAACAACATCATCATCATCAACAGCCTTTAATAGTCCACTGCTGGACATATGCCTCTCCTTAGAAAGGAGGTTTGGGCCTACTATACAAAGCTAGCGAGACGGGTTGGTATAGGAATTTATTCTTCTCTTTGCAGTGCTGTTGTCCTGCGTAGTTTGCTCCCTTAGTGCCTCTTAATACACCCACCATCAAATTCAATTTACATTACATTACAAATTGTAAAACAATTAAATCAAATCCCCCCCAGGAGTTCGATTAACACCCAGGAAAAAATTATTGTGTGATGAGTATGATCGTTTGTTTTATGTCCGAGTGTCATTTAACTATAATATGTGTAATTAGAAATAATATAATAACTTCAAAAACATCTCACACAGTCTGATCCCAAACCAGGAAAAGCCTGTGCTATGGTAAGCAGACTGCTGATTAACATACTTATATATTTCTAAATACATACATATCATAGATTTATATAGATAATTGCATGGTGTTATTTTTGTATCTTTATTGCCTACTAAATTCACGATAAGATGTAAGGGAATATCCATTAATTACGTCACACGTTAAGGGAAGACGGAAGCAATAAGCTTCGTAAAATCATATGTCAAACTAAATGTTTAATATAATGTTTATATTTTATTGAACATTAATAATTTTGTAACTACATTTCTAACTACTCCGATTTACATTTGATTAATTTCCTTACGGGTTCCAAGACAGTTTAGCTTTTTCTGGGACTGCCTGAGTGTCATAACTCGGAGTTATGTTATGGAGTAACTTGGGTTTGGGAGATTAGTCCTAGTTAAAAAGTTGCTTTTTTATTTACTGCATAGTTACATTCTGAAGGCCTGAAGGGTTTTTCGATTGTGACCATCCAAAACGAAACTGGTGTGAATTAATTAATGGATAACCCCTAATATTCAAGATATTTTGTTCAAAGAAACGTCACATGATTTAATAGATTTTTTGTTTAAGTTTTAAAATTCAAATCAACTTTTCTTTTCAACATGCAAAACAACTACTTGACTAAAAATTGAAAACAAATCTTTATATTAAAGATTATTGCCCACCATTAGACGGGACCTGTACGTCCAATTAATAGTACTTTGAACGCCAATGTCACGCAGTAGCCTAGTGGTTAAGGCATTGCGATCAGAAGTCGTGGGTTCGAATTCTGACCATTACACTACCGACGTGAACCCACTCCTAACTCAAGCATTTAGCTTAGCTGGAGGGTATACTAGTAATTTCGTTTACTAGTAAGCCTTAAAAACAAAAGAAAAAGCTTTCAAAGTAATGGCCTAAGTGTTTATATCATGTTATAGTGCACAACGGGCCTGTTGGTCTAGTGGTTAGTGACCCTGACTGCTAAGCCGGGGGTCGTGGGTTCGATTCCCACCGAGGTCAAATAATTGTGTGATTTGTTCTGTGTCTGGGTGTAATTTTGCTATCATATCTATGTATTCAGAAATATATAAGTATGTTTATCAGCAGTCTGGTTACCATAGTACAGGCTCTGCCTAGTTTGGGATCAGACGGCCGTGTGTGAGATGTGTAAAGTTATTATTATATATTTGTCACACATACATATATATATATATATATATATAACAATGACATTCAAAGTATATAAGTGTATTTATATGTACTTTACAAATTAAAAATACCTTAAACAGGCACAAACAAAAACAAAACCCCTTAAAACAAGGTTTTAACACATCATAACCCACAGTTCATATCTTATAACATAAATATATATAATAGTATGTACATAATAGAGATAAAATTTATACACTTTACTAGTATTCGGCACTTTATTTGTTTTTTAATTGCTAAAGGACTTGGAACTATACAGGATAGCTGCATATACATATCGTCATAGTCGGATCTGACATTTATTTAACTTTACACGGCAGCCATTTTAAATATTTGTTATTCTTTTGACATAACTTTTTTAATTCTAAATCTGTAATTATGAAAATAGGCATACAAGGAAAAAATTAGTTTGTTTTAAAATGCAATAAAAAAATACTAACTAATGATTTTACAATTTTCAAAAAAAAAAATGCTTAATTTTACTTTTATCAAACACTGAATAATTTTAAATCTAAAATACATATAATTTTTCTTGAATGTAGTAATAATATTTAGACAATGTAGTATCCAAATATGGTAAAACCTGAATATCGTATTTTTTTTTTCAAAAACGATCTTATTTTTTCATCATGACGACATATGGGATCATGAAATAGGTGTTATGTATCTGTGAATAGCTAGCTAACCGTGGTGTGACTACGGCCCGTGCAATCTGGTCGAAACGCCGCGTGATTATGGTCAAATTCAAATACAGATTGGTTTAAGTCGGTCGTGCAACTTGGTCGAAAATGTTATTACTATAAAACAATTTTATACCAGAAAACGAATAAAGAAACCAGATACCAAATCTTTTACAGCGATTTCATATACAACGAAAAATATACTTCAACGCCATCTAACGGAGACACACCGAACTACGAAGTAACTACTAATCCTGGATCGCGCAATGATAGTTTTCGCGTCGATTATTTTCGCCCAACCGTTCTGCCGCGACTCGCCAGGCCTGATTGGACAATCCTCCACATTAGGGCCATACCACCCGTCCCTCCACATCTTTAAACACTCCTCATGGTGTCAAAAGCGTGTTATAATTCTGTATAAACCTCCTTTCTAAGGACAGGCCTATATTGGACTAGTAAAGACTGTTGATGATGATGATGATGATGAATTCTGTATATTTCCAAGTCCATACCTAAATCCTATATTAGTTTAGTAAGCTGATCTTAATGTTTGCCGTACATAACGCGATATAAATAAGAAGCACATATGTTTTATATAATATAACTATTGTCCGTTTGCTGCTATTAATCTAACGTCCCTAGCTAAATACTAATCAGGGTACAGGTATGTATCAGGGATGTTAGGAAGCTCTGTAACTTGGATATCAGAAACTAAATGATTTTGATATAAGTTTCGCATGGAAATATCCGAAACTTTTCGGATATATTTAGAAATATCTATGTGTTTCGGATATCTGGCATTGGGCCAGAGTCTAACTGAGATATATTTTCTTTATAACTGAAATGGTTATGTAAAAGTTTTCGCTTATTGCAGTAACGTCTTTATATCGAAACACTTAAAAACAAGTAACGATAATATTAATAATTAGTTTAAAAATGATAAACAGAAATAAAAGTTAATTATTTCATTAAGCATTTTTCAATAATAACTCATTAAAGGTCTGATCAGCAACTGAAATTATCCGAAACTATCGGATAAACCGTAATACTTATGAAATTGCAGATCTGAATTCGCAACCATATCCGAAACCGACGAAAATATTATAAAAATATCCAGACTTGAAACTATATATGTCATAACATCCCTAATAGTATAATTAATTTAGTAAATTTTGAGATTTCCTAACATCCCTTCTGGCCTTGCCTGCCACAAAACAGTATTTATACTTTGTACTGCTCGTGTTCAGCCGGATATTCGGCGACCGCAGTTTCAAGATTGACCGGATATTTTGTATCCGGCAAAACAGTTATCAATTTATTGGATTCTACCCACTATTCAAAATACCCCTCCGACCCTCGTCCAGCCACTTCTACTATACTTGTGTATACGAGGGATGCGAATCATATTTTTAAAGAGTACTTATCACAAACCTCGCTTTTTAGCTGCCATTTTTCATCATCATCTCTAACAATATTAATTAAGTAATTATTAAATTGTAGTTTTATATTTTGTCGCCATTACTTCTGAATGTTTTCCCGTCAGCCATTTCAGCTGGTACTCGATAAAATAATAAAAATAATTAATGAAATCTCGCCCCTAAAACTTATGTTAATAAAACTTATAATCTAAAAATAAAGCTTACTGATTGAAAGAATATGGCAATATAAAGAAAGATAAGTGTTTGGAGATCAAATCCTCTAAATGTTATTTTTTTTAAACTTGCGTTCGGTGACATTCAAGTTCGGATAATAAATTCGACTAAAATCATCAAGAGAATACGGTATGTGACTGTCAAGTCAAATAATTAAAAACTGATTTTAAAACATCACCGTACGTTGCGTACAACGCTTGTGTGAAGTAACTAGCTTGTGACGTCACATGTTGCTATTGTCAAATCATTTACTTGAAATACAAATATACTTGAAAATAACAAATAAATTGAAATATTCAACAAAAAGGTACAAAATATTTAGCAATTTAAGCGCAATTCTTTTTCATTGTGTGTTTTAGTGACACAAAACATACAGATGAAAAAAAAAAGTTACTTTTAAAATTGCCAGCTAAAAAAATAACAACACATTTTTGAGTACGTCCCTAACTAATTCATTCAGTCCGTCAGTCAAAATAACTTCTATTTTTTCTGTGTGTTATTTTCTTAAATACATATATGAAACAGTGATTTCCTCGCCAAATGCCACCAGACTCTGGGCATCATGGTGTATGAAAGAGATTACACTCCATCCTGCTAATATAAATTCTGTACGCGAAGTCCAAGGTATGTACATAAAAGTCTTTCTCCTCTGAATATTCCGATGACAGAATCTGACAACTTCTACTTCCTTATGTCAAAAGTAAAATTTTGACATTCATGATTGAAAGCTGTAAGTTTATAAAATGACTGATGATCACCTGTATCCTTTTCCTTTTCCTGACAAGACTGTTGTACGTATTTATGTGTGTCGTGTTATACAGACACTTCGTTATCTTCGTTGAGTTGTATGGTGGGATCGTTGGCGGCTAGCTTCAGGAGAGTCTTCTTGATGCGGAGGGCTGGTAACCGGACTGAGGGGTTCTGGTGCCAGCATTCACGCATCAACGCTGATAGGCCCATCATTGTCTGGGGGAAAAGGGTTTTTGAGTAATACAGGAATTAAATGTTAAGTTACATAAAATATTATAATGTTGTGCGATTTCGTGGAAAATTTTCAACAATAGATATTTGTGACGTCACTGTTACTGTTCATTTGTGGTTTTACAATTTAACATAATAACAAAAAAAATAGTTGATATAATTTATTTCTCCAAACGTGCTCTAGAGTGGAACTTTCAGACAGACAGAGTGCAAGCGTGGTCATCCAAGGTAAATTTGGCGACGAACAGTGGAAGATGAGGCAAGGAACGTCGCCGAGATGGAGTGAAATCAGTTTCATTCTGTTATACTTATATTGTTTATTACTTTCATGGATTTTATTTTCTAGTTTCATTCAGGACTAGTGCAATGGTGATTATGTAAAGCGGTTTGGATCGTATGTTTTAAATGAAATCGTCCTGGGCAGAAGGTAGAGGGAGCGTCCTCGTCGAAGCTGGGGTCGCTGGGCGCGAGCTCGGCGAAGGTAGAGGGAGGTAGAGACAGGTGGGGCTACTCACGGGGTGCGGGTCGTCGGGCGGCGCGGGGCGGTAGGCGTGCACGCAGACGATCTTGCGCATGTCGTCGAAGCTGGGGTCGCTGGGCGCGAGCTCGGCGAAGGTAGAGGGAGGTAGAGACAGGTGGGGCTACTCACGGGGTGCGGGTCGTCGGGCGGCGCGGGGCGGTAGGCGTGCACGCAGACGATCTTGCGCATGTCGTCGAAGCTGGGGTCGCTGGGCGCGAGCTCGGCGAAGGTAGAGGGAGGTAGAGACAGGTGGGGCTACTCACGGGGTGCGGGTCGTCGGGCGGCGCGGGGCGGTAGGCGTGCACGCAGACGATCTTGCGCATGTCGTCGAAGCTGGGGTCGCTGGGCGCGAGCTCGGCGAAGGTAGAGGGAGGTAGAGACAGGTGGGGCTACTCACGGGGTGCGGGTCGTCGGGCGGCGCGGGGCGGTAGGCGTGCACGCAGACGATCTTGCGCATGTCGTCGAAGCTGGGGTCGCTGGGCGCGAGCTCGGCGAAGGTAGAGGGAGGTAGAGACAGGTGGGGCTACTCACGGGGTGCGGGTCGTCGGGCGGCGCGGGGCGGTAGGCGTGCACGCAGACGATCTTGCGCATGTCGTCGAAGCTGGGGTCGCTGGGCGCGAGCTCGGCGAAGGTAGAGGGAGGTAGAGACAGGTGGGGCTACTCACGGGGTGCGGGTCGTCGGGCGGCGCGGGGCGGTAGGCGTGCACGCAGACGATCTTGCGCATGTCGTCGAAGCTGGGGTCGCTGGGCGCGAGCTCGGCGAAGGTAGAGGGAGGTAGAGACAGGTGGGGCTACTCACGGGGTGCGGGTCGTCGGGCGGCGCGGGGCGGTAGGCGTGCACGCAGACGATCTTGCGCATGTCGTCGAAGCTGGGGTCGCTGGGCGCGAGCTCGGCGAAGGTAGAGGGAGGTAGAGACAGGTGGGGCTACTCACGGGGTGCGGGTCGTCGGGCGGCGCGGGGCGGTAGGCGTGCACGCAGACGATCTTGCGCATGTCGTCGAAGCTGGGGTCGCTGGGCGCGAGCTCGGCGAAGGTAGAGGGAGGTAGAGACAGGTGGGGCTACTCACGGGGTGCGGGTCGTCGGGCGGCGCGGGGCGGTAGGCGTGCACGCAGACGATCTTGCGCATGTCGTCGAAGCTGGGGTCGCTGGGCGCGAGCTCGGCGAAGGTAGAGGGAGGTAGAGACAGGTGGGGCTACTCACGGGGTGCGGGTCGTCGGGCGGCGCGGGGCGGTAGGCGTGCACGCAGACGATCTTGCGCATGTCGTCGAAGCTGGGGTCGCTGGGCGCGAGCTCGGCGAAGGTAGAGGGAGGTAGAGACAGGTGGGGCTACTCACGGGGTGCGGGTCGTCGGGCGGCGCGGGGCGGTAGGCGTGCACGCAGACGATCTTGCGCATGTCGTCGAAGCTGGGGTCGCTGGGCGCGAGCTCGGCGAAGGTAGAGGGAGGTAGAGACAGGTGGGGCTACTCACGGGGTGCGGGTCGTCGGGCGGCGCGGGGCGGTAGGCGTGCACGCAGACGATCTTGCGCATGTCGTCGAAGCTGGGGTCGCTGGGCGCGAGCTCGGCGAAGGTAGAGGGAGGTAGAGACAGGTGGGGCTACTCACGGGGTGCGGGTCGTCGGGCGGCGCGGGGCGGTAGGCGTGCACGCAGACGATCTTGCGCATGTCGTCGAAGCTGGGGTCGCTGGGCGCGAGCTCGGCGAAGGTAGAGGGAGGTAGAGACAGGTGGGGCTACTCACGGGGTGCGGGTCGTCGGGCGGCGCGGGGCGGTAGGCGTGCACGCAGACGATCTTGCGCATGTCGTCGAAGCTGGGGTCGCTGGGCGCGAGCTCGGCGAAGGTAGAGGGAGGTAGAGACAGGTGGGGCTACTCACGGGGTGCGGGTCGTCGGGCGGCGCGGGGCGGTAGGCGTGCACGCAGACGATCTTGCGCATGTCGTCGAAGCTGGGGTCGCTGGGCGCGAGCTCGGCGAAGGTAGAGGGAGGTAGAGACAGGTGGGGCTACTCACGGGGTGCGGGTCGTCGGGCGGCGCGGGGCGGTAGGCGTGCACGCAGACGATCTTGCGCATGTCGTCGAAGCTGGGGTCGCTGGGCGCGAGCTCGGCGAAGGTAGAGGGAGGTAGAGACAGGTGGGGCTACTCACGGGGTGCGGGTCGTCGGGCGGCGCGGGGCGGTAGGCGTGCACGCAGACGATCTTGCGCATGTCGTCGAAGCTGGGGTCGCTGGGCGCGAGCTCGGCGAAGGTAGAGGGAGGTAGAGACAGGTGGGGCTACTCACGGGGTGCGGGTCGTCGGGCGGCGCGGGGCGGTAGGCGTGCACGCAGACGATCTTGCGCATGTCGTCGAAGCTGGGGTCGCTGGGCGCGAGCTCGGCGAAGGTAGAGGGAGGTAGAGACAGGTGGGGCTACTCACGGGGTGCGGGTCGTCGGGCGGCGCGGGGCGGTAGGCGTGCACGCAGACGATCTTGCGCATGTCGTCGAAGCTGGGGTCGCTGGGCGCGAGCTCGGCGAAGGTAGAGGGAGGTAGAGACAGGTGGGGCTACTCACGGGGTGCGGGTCGTCGGGCGGCGCGGGGCGGTAGGCGTGCACGCAGACGATCTTGCGCATGTCGTCGAAGCTGGGGTCGCTGGGCGCGAGCTCGGCGAAGGTAGAGGGAGGTAGAGACAGGTGGGGCTACTCACGGGGTGCGGGTCGTCGGGCGGCGCGGGGCGGTAGGCGTGCACGCAGACGATCTTGCGCATGTCGTCGAAGCTGGGGTCGCTGGGCGCGAGCTCGGCGAAGGTAGAGGGAGGTAGAGACAGGTGGGGCTACTCACGGGGTGCGGGTCGTCGGGCGGCGCGGGGCGGTAGGCGTGCACGCAGACGATCTTGCGCATGTCGTCGAAGCTGGGGTCGCTGGGCGCGAGCTCGGCGAAGGTAGAGGGAGGTAGAGACAGGTGGGGCTACTCACGGGGTGCGGGTCGTCGGGCGGCGCGGGGCGGTAGGCGTGCACGCAGACGATCTTGCGCATGTCGTCGAAGCTGGGGTCGCTGGGCGCGAGCTCGGCGAAGGTAGAGGGAGGTAGAGACAGGTGGGGCTACTCACGGGGTGCGGGTCGTCGGGCGGCGCGGGGCGGTAGGCGTGCACGCAGACGATCTTGCGCATGTCGTCGAAGCTGGGGTCGCTGGGCGCGAGCTCGGCGAAGGTAGAGGGAGGTAGAGACAGGTGGGGCTACTCACGGGGTGCGGGTCGTCGGGCGGCGCGGGGCGGTAGGCGTGCACGCAGACGATCTTGCGCATGTCGTCGAAGCTGGGGTCGCTGGGCGCGAGCTCGGCGAAGGTAGAGGGAGGTAGAGACAGGTGGGGCTACTCACGGGGTGCGGGTCGTCGGGCGGCGCGGGGCGGTAGGCGTGCACGCAGACGATCTTGCGCATGTCGTCGAAGCTGGGGTCGCTGGGCGCGAGCTCGGCGAAGGTAGAGGGAGGTAGAGACAGGTGGGGCTACTCACGGGGTGCGGGTCGTCGGGCGGCGCGGGGCGGTAGGCGTGCACGCAGACGATCTTGCGCATGTCGTCGAAGCTGGGGTCGCTGGGCGCGAGCTCGGCGAAGGGCGCGCGGTAGTCGCACGCCGGCCGCACGCGCAGCGCCACCTCCCACAGCACCAGCGCCAGCGCGTACACGTCGCACTTCAGGAACGACTCCAGCACACTAGTGTTGATGCTGAGCACCACCCACGCACAGGTTATACACTTCATTCTTTTTAATAATTAAAGTAACCTACATTACTCCTATAATATGAGCCATCTACCTGTCTGTGAGAGACAAATACGACGTAAAAAGAATCACAAAATAAGTACCCTCTATCACTTTCTACACCCTTAATAACGTGTACGCAATATTCTATTATAATCGATGGTTAAAAAATAAAAACACATCAACTCAAATTAACATTCGTGATATTAATTAGATGAAAAAAAAATCGATCTACCCTTTGCATTATTTGTGTTGCCAAGCTTTTACAATTTCATCTTCTAAATGTAAAATATACACCAAAAATTTCAACTTTCTAACAACAATATTGGACCTAAGATATGTCCTTGAGGAACCCCTATCTCTTAATCACATTCCAACTACATTAAATTCTTCTATTGTTTCCAATTAGAACATTGTCTTATGATTGGCTTACTTTTAGATTTAAAAAATAATATTTAATATTAATACGTGACTTGAAACAGAATATTTTTTATATTTCACAAGTATAACACAATCAAAGGCCTTAGACAAAATTATTAAAAAAAAAATTACTTATAGATTCTGTATTACAGTATAATCAATCATCTATAATACATCATAATAGATTTATTAACTATTCCTAACATAAAAATAAATAACAATGTACCTTGGCATTTTATGTCACTCAGATTAAATGAAAATCTAGTCTATGGTAATAATATTTCACTTACCTCTGGTCCAGCATCTCTGGACTCATATACCGCTTGGTCCCCTGTCTCGGGTTATTTTGCAGGCCCGAGGCCACGTGCTGCCGGGTCACGGCCAGGCCCAGGTCCGCTATACAACACTCACCGTTCACTTTTACTAATATATTCTTTGTTTTTATGTCGCGGTGCGCTATGGCTGGTTTACCCTGGAAACAATACATACAGACAGTCACGTCTCTATTCCCGTAGGGATCATAGGGCTGAGTTCAAGTTTATTTCACATCGACTTGCTCTCGACTTCAAGAACGTATTGCGTTACGATTGGTGGAGATTTCAGTACGGGCCAAGGCCTTCTGAGGGCCAAGTGCGAGTTTATTTCACTTCTACTCGATCGTCACTGTGACCACGTTCAGCGGAATCTTCACCAATCATCATTGTACATCCATATTTTGCCTACCATAATTTGGTCCCATTTATACAAAAAGGGTTTATCCCTTTGTAACTTGGCAGAGCACTACTGTAAAGACATGACCAGATCAACTGCTTATGTTTTGAAGAAAAGGAAGTCAGAAAACCTATGTTGTCACTACTAACCCCTTTAACTTTAGGGACATAGACCTGTTAACATTTTGTAGCCATTTTCACACATTTTAACACATACTGATTTAAAAATTTTTTTTGTTCTACTCACGGAGGGATGTGAACTCTGGAACACTTCAAGTTTAGTTTAGGTTTAGATTTTCAAATTTTACATTCCTCCATATGCGAAATTTGCTTCGTTCTAAGAATATACAGATAGATTAATTTAAATCGGATATACCTGTGTGCCATGTATCTCCGTATGCAGGTGCAGGAGTCCGTTGATGGTCGACAGGCAGATGGCCATCATCTGATGTCGGGTCAACGTGGTTTTGTTTAAGTGCTCGTACAACGAGCCCAGCGGGTGGAAATGTGTTATTAACCAGAGCTAAAAGAGAGCAGAGAAACAAGTATCTTTTATTTTAACCGACTTAAAAAATGCAGGTTGTTAATTCGTCTGTTTTTTACCTAGATACCCATTTCCTTTTTTTTTTAAGTTGATTGTGACCAGTAAAGGCAATAATTAAGGTAATTCCTTAAATACAGTTTATTAGATTGAAATAACATTACACCCAGATGTAGAACAAATAATCGTGCTTAAAACACGATTATGTATGTCCTATAAAAAAGAACCCACTACCTCTGGTTTAGCACTAACCACAAACCCGTCAAATTTATATGATATGACTAGCTGGTGCCCGCGACTTTGTGTTCGCGTGGAATTTGAAAAGCGCTGCCTTAGTGAGTTCGATTCCCGGACCAGGCAAAATTTTATAGGGTTTTTCTGAGAGCAAAAATAGTCTAAGTTACTCCTTATATGGACAGCTACTTGTTAGTAAAATATTATCAAAATCTGTCAAGCCGTTTTGAAGATTACCCGGAACAAGAAAAAAATAATTAAACTGGTTTTTAAGCATAGATATCGTGCAAATAACCGTGTAAGCATGAAAAAAAAACCTATTATTTTGACATTACAAACAGACACTTCAATGTTATTTATTTGTATATATTAAGCTGGGTGTACAATTATTATAATAGATACATACCTGTGTACAACTGGCCCTACTGGTCATGTCACTCCCAATGTAGGCGAGTATATTATCGTGCCGGAGGAGTACAGTGGAGTATATCTCGGTCTCCCTCCTCCAGCTCGCCTCGTCTCTGCTGAAGAATATCTTGACGGCCACGCTGTCGGCGTACCAAGACCCTCGCCATACCTCGCCATATCGACCCTGGAGGGAAACAAAACATTTTGTTATAAATTTCCACACTGATGATATAGATTACTGATTTTTGACTGCCTCGTTGGTGCAGTGGTAGTGTATACAACTGCTGTTCTGAGGTCTCGGGTTCAATTTTCTAGGTCAAACCAAATGTTTGTATGCTTTGCAAATATTTGTTTTGGAGTTTAGGTGTTTTCTATGTATCATAAGTATGTATTTATAAAAAAAAGTATATAGGTATTTTATCAGTCAATCTAACTTTAATAGTACAAGCTCTGCTTAGTTTGAAATTAGATAGTGTTGTGTCCGAAATAGTATTATTATTATATTAATATGTAAAGATGAGCTAAGTTGTAGAAGTAATTAATACCCAAACAATTTCTCAAACTGTACCAAAGTGGGCGTTGCTTAAAAACTGCACCATAAAGTTTTAACACTGTACGGTGTACAATGTACGTTGTAACATTGTTAATTTAAAAATACTATCCTAAGTTATTAAGTGTAAATGTTAATTATTTAATTTAAAATGAAAAATTGTATGTTTAAAAATTGTATCTAAGGTATATAAAGCAATAAATTATACATATATATATATTTTTTTTAAATATATTAGTAATAATAAATGAAAAATATAAAGTTAAATAAGCCATACCTTTCCAACACACTCTATGAGTGTGACTTGTTTAGCCAGGGTCCTCTGAACCATGAGGGGCAGACCAGAGCCCGAGCCACTGGTCACCGAACACTCCAGGTACTCCCGCAGGGTGGAGTCCCCGGCCGCAACAGCTCGAATGCAGTTGCCGTTCTGTGAACCTTCGACTCCTGAAGGTAAACAAATACTGTTATTATTAATAAACTTGGTGTTTTAACATAGATGATTACATAATTTTACTAGCTGACCCGGCAAACGTTGTATTGCAAAACAAAAAAAAATTAGGGATGGGTCACCCTTACCATTTAGGGGTATGAAAAATAGATGTTGGCCGATTCTCAGACCTACCCAATGTGCACACAAAATTTCATGAGAATCGGTCAAGCCGTTTCGGAGGAGTACGGGAACGAACATTGTGACACGAGAATTTTATACATAAGATACAATATTTTGATTAAGTTAATCAGAATCCAGAAAGAGATGAGCAAGATTTGTAATGTTTGTTTTTTTATGACATATAAATAGGCATGGGACAAAATCACAGTGAACTGTGATTTATCATTCGATGTTTTCCTATGTAGGTTAGGGTTGCTATAAAAAAAAAGAAGGTTAGGGTTGCTACTTACTCACGGGTTGTTGCCAATAAGCTGTTTCAGACGATGTATAAGTAATAAACCTACGTAGCAAAATGTGTCACCACCCCTATTCATCCCGTGGGTATCGTAAGAGCCGACTAAGGGAGCAAATTATTTAAGACAACAAGCACTGCTAAGAGAAGGAAAGCTAGAAAGAAATCCTATACCAAACCCGTCTGGCCAGCATGGCATAGTGAGCCATAACTTCCTAAGGAGAGGCCTATGTCCAGCAGTGGACTATTAAACAGTGTTGATGAGAAAACCATGCTTCGCACATATGGGGCCGTTTCGGCTGGAGTGATACCATGGCATACAAGATAGTGATACAATACCTTCATAGTAGGCGCTCGTCATGTTCGGACTGTAGAGGTTCGATGAGAAGTAGTTGGAATCAGCGCCAAGCTTGTGGAGTGAAGCCCTCGACACACGCAACCTACAACCATAAAATATTTAAATTGAAAATTTCATGATCACTAGCGCCATCTAGTGGGCACATGCTAAATGATTCTGCATCACGTTATAAAAAAAAAATGCAAGATACATTTGTGTCTTGTTTCTAAAGTATGGCTGAGTAATTTAGAACTTTTTTTTATTATATGTAATAATAAATTTGTTTAAGATTGAAAAACAAACATACTCTAGAAAATGGACCAAGAGCGTCATGATAGCTAACCATTACACAGCAGAATATATTTCAGAGTATGACGAGAAATCCTATAATAATTTATACCCTTGGGAACGGTGCAACGAGTCTTCGAAGCCGTGATGGCGAGTGGCACAAAATGCAAGTTTTCATCAGTCATTACCTGTGGCTTCTGCGTAGAACGAATACAGCACAGGCTCCTATAGTAGTGACTACGACCACAGCTGCAGCCGCGCTTGCCCACAGCTTCCAGGCGTTGGTGGGGAGCGGCTCGATGGCCGTATCCAGGGGGTCGAGTGGGGGGAGCGACGGGAAATTGCCGTCGTTGCACAGGTCGCCCTGACAACATGTCACGTTGGGGAAGCCTGCGTGACGCTTACGGGGGCTGCAACAGAACGATAGAACGATGGCAATGAAATTTCTGCATACAAAATATTGCTCAATGAACTACCAAGTATTTATTATAAGCGTTTCACTGCACTGTCAGTCTCGTTGATTATCTTTTTCTAAAAAAAAACTTTTTTTCAGGATAAAAAGTACCTTAGCATATCATTCCAGAAAATAATCTACATATGTAATAAGCAAGCGTATTGCCGTCTACCCGGTACAAAAAATTCTAAATAAACGTACCTATATATTTTTAAATACATAGATAAATTACACCCAGACATTGAAGAAATGATAATGTCACACGATATTTGTCCTGGGTGGGAATCCAACCCACAACCTCTGGCTGGCAACAGGCCAGGCGTGACAGAATAACAACATATGCTCATGGCAATTTGTACAGTGTAATGTAGTATATAGATAACAGTTACCTTTGTTGCAATGTGGTCCTACAAGTGAACTGGTAGTGATCAGACTTTGTGGAGCACCCGCGGGAGTGCTGCAGGGCTCCATCGATGCCCCGCACCGAAGACTTGAAGCAGTAGAGGGCATTGTCGCACATTTTCATTGACTCATCACATTCGGGTGGTTCGCACTGGTGACATTTATACCTGTAATTCAGATATACAAAACATTTCGTATTATTAAACCTCTACATATTCTGTCCCTTCAAAGTCGAGCCTGTCCATCTGTGCTGTGCTGAACCATGGCTCTCTCTAATCGCCAGATTTGCTATGCTAAGCTAATAGTAAGCTGTTTAATTCACATTTTTAAGAAATTCCTATATTCATCATCTTTAACAGCTTTTAGCAGTTCACTACTAGGTATAGGCCTCTCCGAAGAAAGGAGGTGTTGGCCTACTATACCATGCAGGCTAGAGGGGTTGGTATAGGGTTTGTTTCAGGTTTTCCTTCTATTTGCAGTGCTGTTGTTCTGCAGTTTGCTCCCTTAGTCGGCTCTTACGACAGCCACGGGATGAATAGGGGTGGTAACACTCCGTATTCTTAATCCATCACCACACGGACGATTCCCATATTATATTTAACAATTTCTTACCTTTTCTGAAATTTCTTTCTCCTTTGAAAGCAAGGAAAATAATAGAAATGATGAATTATTGACATATTAAAAGTTGTTTACGGTAACATTGCAAAGGATTAAGGTTAAAGGTAATTTTTTTTTTTGGGAATGTTATACATTTTTAGACAGGACAAAGGAAGAACACAAAACGTAGAAGAATAAGGCGAGGGAACTGGCTACGGTCTGGATTATCACAAGTCTCAGATGGAAATGAAATGATATTTTTTTCTGCAAGTAAATCTTTTCAGATATTTTTACAAGTCGGACTCGCTCTAGGAAGAAACGCCCAAACGAACTGGGAGAGGTGTCTTTTTTGTGTACAATGTTAAAGAGAACTATGTGAGTGCAGTATAGGATCTGGGTTGGCCTTTGAAGAAAGAACCATAGGTTTAAGTAGGCCCGTCCATACAGACGGCGAACCCCATCCATTGTGTAGCCTAACCGATATAGTCAGGATGAACAACCCGGAACACGACACTACCGCCAGCAGGACACTAGAGTATGCCGAGGAAACACACAATACCACCAGAAAGTTACTAAAATATGAACTATCATTACAAGCCTATACTATACTTACATTTACATTACTTACACAAAAAATAATAATACTATACAGTTCAATGTCAAGTAAATGAATTTGGATGTACAATACTGACTGAGACTGTAGTGCTTAAAAGAGGCCAGGGCCACGTGGTACCTTTTTGTCTGAAGGCCAATTCTCGTAATAAAACTTCAGTCACATTTCAGTTCCGATCAACTCTCGATTTCACAAATGTCATAAAAGTTATTTTTGTAGTAAAGTATTAAACATCATACGTTAACGTATTATATACGAAAATCGAATCTATAATCTGCTATAACCCGGCAATCTCGTGCGCGACCGTCCCGCGGGGTGACAGACAGTGGCGGGGGCGAGGTAGCGCGTCATTCTAGCACACGGCTACACGCGTTTCCCTTCCCCGCTATACCACCCGCTGACATCTTGAGTACCTCGTCCCCGCCACCGTCTGTCACCCCGCAGGACGGTCGCGCACGACGTTGATATACTATAGTCTTAGTATAATACTTCACTATTTAACTACGAAAATACCTTTCATGAAAGTTTTGAGTTTATCGGAACCGAATTTACACAGAACTTTTATTGCGAGAATTGTCCTTCTGTTCTGTAAGTGGCCCGGAAAGCAATATAAGATGATATTCCTGTGATACTGTACTACTCCACAAAAAACTATTTGCTAAAACCTACCAGTTTAGTGACTAAACCAGAAACGTTCAATCATTATGAGGCATGTATGTTTGCAAGAGGAAAGCCTGGTTTCCACCGCAAAGAAACAGACCAGTTAAGGACTACATTCAACTAGAAAAGTGAACTGCATACTTGTATTTCCAGCACAAAATAGTCGGTTGAGAAGGGCTAAGCAAGCAGAATGAACTTACCCAGTTTTAGAGAACGAAGTGGAGTAAATATGGAGTCTGTTCACCTTGCGATGAACAAGTTATATAATAGCATTTCTATATAGAAAGAGGTTACCAGGGTGGAATGAACGATCCAAAAGTGGTTAAAACGAGTCTGATAGGGCAAGGTCAAATCCTCTATCATATTGTCAGAATAAGTTGGTAAAATTAAGGTCAGAAGGCCAACTCTCGTAATAAAAGTTTGGTCTTGATTCAGTTCCGATCAACTTTCATCTCACAACTGTCATTAAAGTTATTTTGGTAGTTTAAAGATCCAATGTTGAATGTAATGTGATTAAATCGTATTGTAACCGAAAATTAAATCGGTTATCTGCTCGTCTTAGTAATACTTTACTACGAAAATTACGAGAATTGGCCTTCAGGGTGTTCATTTTGAAGGTTTCAAAGTGTGGATTTTTTGTTACCTGGGGTGTTGCACCATCATCTTCTCAATAAACCTGGGATCCTCCAGGTGTTGTGAATTAGGTCTCTGTGTGCCTGACATGCCATCTTCATCAATTGATTCCAGTCCTGGCAGACCCGCTTAATAAAAAAAAAGATTATACACTGTAATTCGTCATGGGCAGAGATATAACCATTATTATGATAAAATGTGATGAACAAATAACATTTTATGTATGTATTTAGAATGATATTAGTATGTCTATCAGCAGTCTGGTTATCATAACACAGGCTCTGCCTAGTTTGGGATCAGATGCGTCAAGTTGTTTTCAGGAGGTTGCTCTTGTTGCAAATTTTGATAGGGTAATGAAAATAGTAGATTTGCTTTAGATTAACTAATAAACTATAAGCACAAATAACCAGCCACTGCAGATATTAATCATCATCATCAACAGCCTTTAATAGTCCACTGCTGGGCGTAGGCCTCTCCTTAGAAAGGAGGTTTTAGCCTACTATACCACGCTGGCTAGGCTAGAGGGTTTGTGTCAACTTTTCTTTCTATTTGCAGTGCTGTTGTCTTGCTTAGTTAGCTCAGTTGGTCAGCTCTTACGACACTCACAGGATGAATAAGGGTGGTGACACTCCGTATCCTTAATCCATCACTTAGATTTTATGAATACAATGAAAAGAATAAGAATGACTTTAAAATTTAAATAGATTAAATTACTCATCATCTATTTTTTCGAAAATAGAACACTGATATACAGTAATTTAAGTCACAGAGCGAGTTAGAATTTATAAAAGTTATCTTATTATCTTATTTAGAAGCCATCAAACAAATCAGTTTTGCAATAAACAATTAATTCAGCTGTCTTGTTATCATTAAAATGTTAATTTTCGGACCATCCTGTCAGAGCACATCGTTTAGACACTAAAACTGGGTTTATCTTCCTTTTACGGTTATCAAAGAATATGCAAAATAGTAAACAACTATAAATGTTTGATAAATGGTGATATAGAATGTTGTGAGTAAATATTAAAAAAACACCCGTATAATACACGTTTCGTAAATTCTATTGAAAAACAATAACAGAACACAAGTCTATAGAAGCCACTAAGAAAACAACACTTTCTCGGTTTATCACACTTTCAACTTTAACTAAATTGAAGCACCACACTTCAGAGAGTATTTTAAAACCCATATTATTGCATAAACTTACCACAGCAAGCATTTATCAATAAAAATATGAACAAATATCGCAATTTAGCAATGTCCGCCATTCTTCGTTCATCATAACAATGCACTACAGTTTTCAAAATAAGTTCTTAATAAATCTAAAGTGGAAGTAGGTAGTTCATTTAGAGGATTGATTTTGAATTTGATTTCATTAAATAATCAAAAATTTTTTTATAAATCAGTGTGGGTATCAAAAATGCCTTATTTGATATAATTTAATTACAACAAAGGTACTCAACTACTCCAACATCCGTGGATAAAGTTTTTGAACGAACCACAAAACTATGTAAACAATTCTTAAACGGAACTTTAGTTCGAATAGTATCATGGAATAGTTTCAACATATGAACGTGACATCATATTAGTATTAATTTTATGGGATAAGTTTATAATATTTTCAAACAAGTAATTTATGACAATTGTATGTTGTTACAAATTTATTTATTTATTTATTAAAAACAATTACAGTGTCTTTACAGGATTTATCCCAAAACGATACTGTAAGTAAAAACAGTAAGTAACAGTTATTTATACATAAAAATCATTTGCTGTAATACATCTCTGGGCGATTTCTTTGAAGTTCGGCACGCTACAGTTGTAGATATCTACTTGTATTGAAATAATATTAATAAGCCTTATGGCGCGTGATATAGGAGCATATCGAAGTAAATTTGTTCTTCGTTCCTAAATTATATTTATATGTATGTTCATAGTATTTTATGACAAATGTACTAGACTTTGAAAAGAGAACCGAATTTACTGAGTGATTTTTGAGGTGTAAAATCTTTAATCTCTCCATTAGTTTACCGGAGTCGCAACGTGCCAGGGTCTTTTAAGTTACCGGTTATGGACACGGACATCACTACCCATGAGTCTAGTTACTTAAATATTAGGTAATGTATAATACATAAAAAGCGTTCGACTACTAAAAGATATTATGGTTAGCCTTTCAGCTCTTAGTCAGTTTTTTTACGATCACGATTACGATTTACGATCTCTGACTCAGTATGTTAAACCCTTCAGTATTTGCTTTCTAGCCTTTAATATTATTTTCTTAACCGACATTGTCGTAAAGCTGGAGAGGAGAAGGTGAAATTTGCTACTCTTATGTATAACCAGCTGGTGCCCGCGACTTCGTTCTCATGGAATTTGATAATCGCTGCCTTGATGGGTTCGATTCTCGATTTGTTTTTTTTTTTCAATCTACCTTATACTTATTGTGGCGTAGGTACATACTGTCGTTCAAAGTTACTATAAGCCAGGAATAGTATTAGTTACAAAAAAATAATTAATAATAATCAGATGTAATAGCCAAAAATTACGAGTTGTTTTTCGTTCATAGATATAAAACGAGAAGGCCAAAGTAACCAGCATTATTAAATCAAATTGTCATCTTATACCATAGATAAACGAAAGCAAAAATGTATCCAAACATGACATGTACTAGTAATTCAAAAAATACCGTTTGTGTTTTGTTTGGTTTTGTTATTCGCGTTTGATTGAGCTTTCTTTATTTTAGTTTTAGTTTATTTTAATGATTTTTTTTAATAAAACTAATGTGTAGAATATAGTTAGATTAGTTAACATCATTCACTTGAACTGAGAATAGCTGTGTTCAGTAAAAATGCCGCGTACGAAACGGCCTGTTAAGAAACAGGAAAAAACCAATGAAGATGATGAAGCCCTGAAAAAATTTAATAAACTTGGTATGTACTCTTAAATATTGTTAAAATTGAGCCAAATGCCGTGTCAATTGCTATTACAAATTATTAATTTCATTTTCCTAGTACGAGTTACCGTGTTTTAAACGACACTTGAAATATTCAAGTGTCGTTTAATCATAAAAGTTATCCTGGGACGTAAATTGCATCTTTTTTGCCATTCATAACAAGATAGACAGATACGCAACTCTATATTGCTCTAGATAGCAATAATTAGTGAAAAAATTGTTGTTTACAGTGTCAGACCAGAAGAATAAAATAGATTCCAGGGCACATATGGAACTTCGAAATATAGAACTCGCATTCAAGATACTTCTAGGCTCTATTAGTAATGTATATTTAAACAAGACTATAGGACAACTGGTAAGATGTTTATATATTTTATTAAATTGAAGTTATGCACAGTATTAGGCCTTTATAATGGGCCTGTTGGTCTAGCAGTTAGTGAGCTGAGCTGACTGCTAAGCCAGAAGTAGTGGGTTCAATTCCCACCTAGGACAACATTGTTAACACATAAATCCTTGCTCACTCAGTGCTTCCAAGTATGCTTCAGTATGTGACAATATGGTTTTCAGATCAATGTTCTAATTGCCGATTAATAGTGCATTATTTTGCAATTGAAACTAGACACATATTTAGCAAGTATGTTATTTAGTATTTATTATTATGATGGTCCTGAATATGTCTACTTTTAAACTGTTTTAGCTATGGTTTTACACATCTTGGACAAAGTGACAGTAATTTTTTTTTTTACAGAAAACTGAACTGCATCTGAAGGAAGCTCCGAGCACACGGAGAACGAGACATTCCAGCCGTTCGGCATCTCATGATGATGGTATGTCATATCAATATCACCTCTATGATATTGGGTTTCCTATCATTATCACTTGTTTGGCATTTTATCACCACTTGTACATTTTCTTTTAATTCATTGTAGATGTGAAAATACTAGACTTAGTTAAATTTGATGTTTTTGAATAATTAATAGTTCGATATCTAGTCTTCAGTAAATGTATCTATATGGAGAAATAGGCGCATGTATATGCGATCCTGGCTTCTTTAAGCTACCTTAATCTCTCCCATTTCCTATTCTTCTTTACCCTAACGAATTCACAAGAAGAAGAATCTACCTCTTCCTTACCTTTTTTGCTGTTGGGATGGATAATCCCCTTCGAATCTCTGGCTTCTTGGGACGCAGGGGCCAAGAGGATGTGATGTTCCCACTAAAACAAACCCGACGGCCGACTTCAGTCGCGCTACTCCGTCGGCACCCGAGGCCTATATCGACGCCTCCCATAACCAGGCCTTATCCCGGAGGAAACAGTGTCTTTATTACCTTCCCTAGTAGAACTGCTTTCTTTGTGGCATCAGGCAGATGACCATCTCATACAAGCCAAAATCCTTTTCAATATTACATTTTGCACCAAATCAGATGGGACAGATGTAAAATGATGATTGTAGAGATCAATTAACTCCCAAAGAATGTATAAAGTGTTAAGGGCCAATTTGATTTGAATGGTGTTTATGAATCCGTGTGGTGATATGAGTGTGTGTGAATACGGATTGTCACCACCCCTATTCATCCCGTGGGTGTCGTAAGAGTCGACTAAGGGACCAAACTACGCAGGACAACATCACTGCAAAGAAAAAGAAAACTTGACACACACCCTAAGGCCTAAACCAACCCGTTTGGCCAGCAAGTAGTAGGCCAAAACCTCCTTTCCAAGGAGAGGCCTATGTCCAGCAGTGGACTATTATCGTCTGTTGATGTGATGAATTAAACTATTTTTGCTTTCGTACGAAACGATAATTTCCTGGAACCTGATTGGTCAGGAGGCGAGGCTTGATCGATGCGTCACTATTTTCTAAACTCGAATGGACCGTAGAGGCTTTTCATTGATATGATCATTGGAGGATGTTGAAGTGCCAGAAGTAATCCTCTGAATTGTGAACCTCTTAAAGCTTTGTGTATTTTGTTACTATTAGTAGTTGTAGTGTGTAAAATTTGTTATATAGTTTTGTATAGTTGAATGTAGTTTTACGATTTAAATGCAAACTTGGCAGTAGCAAGGGACATCGTAGCGAATACTGACAATCATTCTGAGTTTAAAATCATTATAATATTCTGCTGGCAAATTAAAAATGTTATGCAATCAGCTGTCAAAGGTAAAGGTCATTCCCCGTAGGTATCGCACAAAAGTAATAACCACATCTATACACACCAACAGAAGTTGGCGGCCGTAGGGGAGACCCAGCGCGGTTCGGCTGTCTGATTAATTATTTTGCAGTTTTTTTGTTTGTTTTTGGTGAAATGCTCATTGTGAGATTATTTTTAACCAAAATACATGGAAAATTAAAAAAAAAGTGGAATTTTCTGGCAGAAAATGCCAATGATATTCGACTCAGAACCATGGTCGGAACACACTATTTCAGTATTCGTTACGATGTCCCTTACACCTTGTATAATAGTAAATCTAATGGCATTTCTTTAGGCATTTATCAGTTCAATAATGTTTTAACTACCTAAATGATGTGTGTGTGTAGAGATGTAATGAATACTCGATTTAGGTAGTTAACTAAAGTTTATTGTATCACACGACACATATATGAAATACACAGAGAAAGGTTTAACCAGGCGGGCGGAGTCGGGTGCGCGTATATATGCGTGATCGCTATCGAGGGTAGTAGCCGACTGCCTGTCGCGTCTCTGCGTCCGCCTGGCTTAGTACAGAAAAAGCTAACATAACATAATAGCTTAGGGCTGTCGACACAATAGCATAGGGCTGTCGCCACAATGTGTTAATACGCAGGCTAGTACTAAGTCGTAGCCACAGCCTGTTGCGACAAGATAGGGACAGGGCGTTTCTCAATAACAATTGGTCATGCCGTTTTTCTCTATAACACTGTATAATACCTAATTTAATACACATAAATGTACAATGTAATGTCTCACAACCTTTCCATTATCATCGGTATATAGCCATAAACTAACAATTCCACAATTCCACTAACGGGGTGCTTCCTGGGCAGGCTATCTGACGGAGAACTCGTCGCAGAGCTCCGGCGGCAACGTCAAGAAGAGTCGCCTAGGTGAGTATCATGCTAGCACTCTATGCTTCTGTAGTACTGTCCTGCCAACTATTTCTATTCAACTCATTTAATTTTATAACCTGGAGATGATGGATTAACAGGTAAGTTTATCATCACATTTCTTTGCACACAAAAATACTAGTTTTTCACAAGTTGCCGCCATTGTTCCACACATTGTGGGGTTAATTTTACCAAAAGTACATTCAACTAGATTTATACGGGCGTTAAGAATCAGTTGAGTAGTTAAGGCGCGAAGACGGAACAAAATAAACTCATTACAGTTATAATAAAAGTAAGGAAAAGAATAAAAATATCCAACTTCACTTAATGTTTATTGGTCATATTTTCCGTGTTCAGTACCGCCCTCAAGTACCCGGTCCACGACTACGGCGCGCCGGTCCCGCTCCGCTGACGCATCGTGCCGCAAGCTGCCCCCCTCTACCGCCAGTAAGACTGTCCAGCGACGAAGATCACGCTCAGTGTACCGAACACCCGCGTACAACAAGAATTCGAATGTCATCTATCCTGCTATCACTCCCAAGGTGAGAAACACATCTAGCACTATGTTTTATCGTCTGCGCTATTTCCGGACCGACACAACCTTCAAGAAAAGAGCGTACTCCTTCCGGCGATGGTCACTTTCCATCAGGTGACCCGCCTGCTCGTCTGTCCCCGCTAACGAAACAAAAAAAAAAGGCAAAAAGTGGTCATATTCTGGAGGAATCGTCGCTATCCCCCTTTAATACAAAGGGAGCGATCATATCATGTGAGGTGAACATTGCCTTGAGGGGCGCGGCGCAACGGTTGATGTTCTTAATCGGCACAATCCTATTTTTGGTCAATTCTCAAGTTGTGCGGAATCCAACGTGAACAAATTTTTTTTACAGCAAAATGTTCGTGTAATATTTTATATTAGGTCTTTATCTATGAAATTGCCGTTTTGTATGCAATAAGTGAAAGTACTTATTTTTTCAAACTTTTTTATTTCTGTTATTGCCAATTGCCAGGGCATCAATAAATTGCCAACGCATTGGCAGTTTATTGATGGGTAAAAAATTCAATTCCCGAGAGGCAGTACAAAATGCCTTTGAAGAGTTTGTTGCCTCCCGTCCAGCTGATTTTTACAAGAAGGGCATCAATAAAATTCCAATGCGTTGATTGCATGGGTGATTACTTCGAATAACAGAAAAAAAAAGTTTGAAAAAATAAGTACTTTCACTTATTGCATACAAAACGGCAATTTCATAGGTAAAGACCTATTATATACTCGTCATACTTATTCCCAGAGACGCCTCTATCTCGCGATAACATGACGATCTTGCATTATTAGTTCCCGCACAGCATCAATATTTGGAGGTACAACAACCGATTTAAGGCGACCTTCTTTAAATCCGTCCGTGAGCACAGACCGCCCACGATTAAACTCACTAAACCAGTGATACATAGTTGTTTTTGATGGTGCTTCGTCCCCAAAAGTCGAAGTGAGTTGATCGATGCACTGTTTTTGAGTTAACCTTCGCCGAAAATCGTAATAAATCATAGCATGAAAATTTTCACGAGTTAAATCCATAGTGAGACACACAATTTGCAAAATGACGCATCAAAGGATAAACAAATGACAGCTACGTGAAACAAATTGTATTCCTCAGCCAAAGAGTTCCATTTTTAAATGTTATAATTACTTTTTTAAAATTGTTCTGGAACTTGCCAGTTTTGGATACATAAATAGCAGCCCTCGTAGTAGCCTAAACCCCTCCCTTCTCCCGTTAAATTCTAGGGGAAGGGCACTTAAATGGCTGCAATTCACGTGTGAGTGGAGTTGCCCATGGGCGGCGGTTGTCACTTATCATCAGGTGACCCGATTGCTCGTTTGTGCTCCTATACAATGAAATCACTCTTTGGTGGTCAACTCGACGCTTCCAACTGCGTCGAGTGTTCGATCCCCACACAGGACAACACTTTGTGTGATCCACAAATTGTTGTTCTGAGTCCGGATGTTCTTTATGTCCGTTTCATGTATGGTCTGTAAAGTCTCCCCCTCGACACATCATATATCCCTAGTACAGGAGTTCATTCCGACACACCACAACTGCTGCAAACGTCCCTGCACTGCCCCTCGTGCTTCCACACAAAAAAAAAATTGTTAAACAGCCTGTAATAGTTCACTGCTGGACATAGGCCTCTCCTTAGAAAGGAGGTTAGTATAGGGTTTGTGTCAAGTTTTCCTTCTCTTTGCAGTGCTGTTGTCTTGCATAGTTTGTTAGCCGGCTCTTACGGCACCTAAGGGATGAATAGGGGTATTGACACTCCGTATTCTTAATCCGCCACCACATGGACATGTCTTTTAAATTAAAACAATAAAATTCCACTCTGTAGAACTCCAGTGCGTCTCCATCATATTTTTAATTGTTCATAGGTTACTCCTCACACACCGCTGACAGTGTTGCGACAACCGCGTCAGGGTGAAATGGTGGTCTCCATGTCTGGCTCGCCTGTGATGGTGCCTTCTTGCTACACGTAAGTAAAACATCTACTGTGCCTCACTTTATATTATATATTAATCATACGACTGACTGACTGCACGGATGGCGTAGTGGTTTAAGTTCCTACTACGCCGAGTGTTGTGGGTTCAAACCCCACATGGACGACACTTTGTGTGATCCACAAATTGTTCTTCTGAGTCTGGGTGGTCTTTGTGTCCGTTTCATGTATGTTTGACACAGGATATATTCCTAATTTTCTTTTTAATAAAAAAAAAATCATTACTTTCTCATCCCTCTACTTCCCGGTCAGGGTAGGGTAAATCCAAAAATATTTTTGACAAATATTCACTAAACCTTCTTTCTAAGGAGAGGCCTATGTCCAGCAGTGGACTATTAAAGGCTGTTGATGTGATGATTCACTAAAAATAAAAAGTAGTTTTTTTACATACTGTTCTGCTTCTATGGTCGTACTAAATACAAATCCTGCTGAATAGGAGTGTACACCTGCCTAATTTATAAATATTACTTCGCAAGCCATTAAACTTCGAAATATAAGTAATAAATATAAACGGTTATGATAATATTAAGGTTTTAGATATGGTATTTTGATCCAGGTTCTGGAACCGGTCCAGGTCTAGATCCAGGTCCAGGCCAAGGTCAAAGTCCAGTCCCAGGTTCAGTCCATTCCAATTTTTTTTTAGTAAACGGTAGACGATATATTTTGGCCTCCCCAATTCCCATTCCCAACATTTGCCTAAACCACTAGTTAAGCCAGTAGCCTGTATATAAATAATGATATAAATGTATATAAATAAGGCAATATCTAGTCTCTTTTCCATAGTACCTTAAATATTTCTTTCGTAACATTTAGATAGTCCAGTTGCCAAAATACCAAATATCCAGGTCCCCGTTCGCCCTTACTTAAGAGACTCGTATTTGTAACGTGCTTAAGACGCAAAGGTTTTTAATCAATTCTAACACGAAATGTTCCTATCGCTCATCGCACGATAACACTACATTTTTTTCGGAATAAAAATTAGCCCCTTGGGTTACTCAGGGGTTTCAGCTACCTTTATGAAAATTGGTCCACCCGTGTGAGCCTAAAAAAACTAACAAACATACAAACACACCTACAAACACGTCTGTAATATTAGTGTTATGTGACTAAGTGTTTAAAACTTGTTTATTCATATGTTCCAGCAATTTATAGATCTTTCCCCCAATTCAATATTTTATTTGGTGTTGTAGGATGCAACCTGACGAGATGGCGAACTGCAACATTCTCCTCCAAGACGGCACCATGCTCTCCCTCCAGCCCAAACAACTTCGGCAGTCTCAAGCTTACATTCCGTTCTCACTAATGGACTCCAACGTGCTGAACCAGCTCAAAACCCTCAAAGATAACCTCGACAAGGTAGTGAAGCTCGGTGAAAAGGCCATTAAGTGATTATTAGCTGTAATTCTTTTGCTGGGAATATTCCCATTATCAGAAGTTTCCAGTGAATGGGGAACCATAATTTCTTGGTTTGTTTTGAAGAAGGCAGTTGTTGGTACTGTATTCCAGTAATTGGGAAAATTCCCATTCCTTGGAATCTGTTTAGTAGTATTAGCTTTTTATGTGTGAATGTTTTATTATTTTATGAATTAATTCTTAATGCTATGGCTGACATGTGTATAATTGTGTATTATTAATGGATAATTCTAGAATTAAAATATTAATTTCTGACCACAAGCTGGCGTTTGATTTTGAATCTTATAATGTAACTGTGATGGCTCTATTCTCTAACCTAAGTGAGGATATTGTTTATGCAAATCTCATAAATTGGCAACTCCAAAAAACAACGATAAACCCCAATACCATCTGAAATGACACGGATTGCGTAGTGTTGAGCGGTCACCTTGCCGCTTTCTATTGCTAGTCTAATGTTGTGGGGTCGATCATGACATGACACCTTTCGCTTATTTCTGTGTACCCCTGGTGGTACGGTGGAAGGAAATTTTTAACCGTTGTATCCCTTACCGCAAAACCCGACAAAATTAATCAATTATTACATAAAATCTTTTTCGCAATAGTTGTAAAAATCAAATCACAATTAAAAGCCAGAATTACACCTTTCTCGTATATCTATACAAATAAATAACATTGGAGTGTCTGTAATATTGAAATAACTGCTTCTTACTAAATGCATATTTATGTTTACACGGTACATATGACAAAAATAACATTTTTTTACAATTTTTGTCTGTCTGTCTGTCTGTTTGTTCCGGATAATCTCTGGAACGGCTGGACCGATTTCGACGGGACTTTCACTGGCAGATAGCCGATGACATAAGGAGTAATTTAGGCTACTTTTTTCGGACTAGCTTCGCCCCGCGGCGTTGCCCGCTGTTGTAACAACAAACGCGGGTAACACCGCGGGTCTCAGCTAGTTTATCAATATAATACATATTACGTGAATGAAGCGATCCTGACCGTTGTTTCCTCTTGGACCAACTATGTATGCACAACTAGTTGTGTCATGAGGAATATTTTTTTTAAATCGTTCCTATTGGCACAACTAAATAATTTTCAATTAATATTAGATACACAACTAATTACAATCAGTGTACAAAGATTCATCGTTATGGTTATAAGTTCTTCGTCTTCTGGCGTAGACATAGACATGCTTACATTCAGGATATACCGCCAGCGTATGCACGAAAATAATATATCATTTTTTTTTAAATAATAACTGATAATAAATAACATGAAATGGCATTTATAATTTTCTATTTGTTAATATACAAAGATATGACAGAAGTGGCCAACATAATCATCAATATCTGAAGTGGTTAGTAATAATCTTATTTATTTCCTCCTGTAGTTGTGCTAAAAGGAATGGTTATAGTAAATCAGTTGTGCTTAGTTGTGCATAGTTGTGTCATTAAGAACATATTCTGGGATGGCACAACTAGTTGTGCGTACATAGTTGGTCCATGAGGAAAACGGGATCCTGACTGCCAAGCCAAAGGACAAGGTGGGAATCGAACCCACGACGGGTTCGATTCCCACCTTGTCCGGGATAAGAAACCTTGTGTGATGATCGATTTTCATTTGTTGTGTCTAGGTGTAATTTGCCAAAATACCTAATAATTTATTTTAAAAATAATTTCTTTTGAGTGGCATGGGTTTTTTATGGTATAAGGGGGCAAACGAGCAGAAGGCTCCCCTGATGGTAAGCAACTACCGCCGCCCATGGGCACCTGCAACTCAAAATTCACAAGTGTGTTGTTGGTACATCACATAAGTGTTGTTGGTACATCACATAAGTGTTGTACGGCAGTACGGAAATAAAAGTCTTGAATAATATCAGTACAAATTATATTTCCGTAGTAATATTTATCTGATATCACTACATTTAAACAAAAATACATTAATATAATAAATTCTAACGAGAGTACTTCTAGTCAGTTCTTTAATAAATAGTAAGATACAACTCAAATTCTTCAAAAATATTTTCCTCATCCTGTAATTAAATTGGTTCAAAGCCAATGACACATCCCTATTATTCCCAAAATCAAAAATGGTCCATAACTTATATCTGGAATTATTATGCCAGATATAAGTTATGGACCATTTTGATTATTAGCAAACAACGCAATGAAAGTAAGTTTTAAAATTGCGTTTAATTTACGCATCGATATTGTCATGATTATACAAACATGGTGGCATAAATACAAAATAATTTGTGTTAATTTTTGTTGTTAGTTTTTCATACCTCAAAAGGATAAAACGAACCCCTTTTAGGATCACTTTGTTGTCCGTGCGTCCGTCTGTGTGTCTGTCAATAGCTTTATCTCGGAAACTTGTGCAGGTATCGAGTTGAAATTAAAACGATATACTCAGGGCTACAGTCATGCAGCTGTGAATAAATTAAACTTTTAAGTTAACGTAAAAAAGATAAGTACATAATATATAGATATAACGTATATAAGCAATCTATCTTTCATAATTCAAGCTCTGCTTAGTTTGAAACTAGATGGCGTTGTGTGTCAGATGTCCCAAATATTATTATTATTACTGGGCAATTATTGTGAGAGCCATTCTTTGGCACATTTGGGCTCCGGAGTAACACCACGACCTGACACAAAACCGGCGTTAAACAAATCTTTCGTTGCTTCACAAGGAGTGGAGGTGGTAAACAGACGCCTTACTCTCCCCTTGTCTCTGGGGGAGGATCTCGTAAGCTAATACAATCTGGCCCACTATTTAGGTAGGCAAATAGAGACAAAATAATTAAATTAAAATAAATTTGTACATACATTAAATAGGGAAAGGTAAAATATTTTATTATTTTAACTATTTATAATTAACTCCTTTCTAAGGAGAGGCCTATGTCCAGCAGTGGACTATTAAAGGCTGTTTATAATGCAGTTAATTAATAATGTTATTTTTATTATTTCCTTATAATGTATTACAAAGTTGTTTTAATTACAATAAATGCTGCATGCAATCAATATGGACCCATCCGTTTAGGAGATATGATAAAACATATATACACATAGAAATGATGATTAAATAGTGTAACACTATGATTCAAAATTGTTTACCTATCGGTAGGCCAAACACGCAATCATACTGACAATTGACGTTATAGAAAAGTCTAGTGCCAGTGATCACAACAAGTATTTAATTCCTACAAAAAATCTCCTACATTTTTGACGATACCAACGTTTATTTAAAAGCGCAATCATTTTTACCTTTATTTTTATCATCATCATCATCAACAGCCTTTAATAGTCCACTGCTGGATATATGCCTCTCCTTAAAAATAAGGTTTTGGTCTACTATACCACGCCGGCCGCTGGCCGCTGGCGGATTCGTATAGGGTTTATTTCAAGTTTTCCTTCTCTTCGCACTGTTGTTTTCGTGTGTATTTTCCCTCAGTCGGCTCTTACGACACCCATAGGATGAAAAGGGGTGGCGCACTCTGTATTCCTAAACCGTCACCACCCGGAGAATTTATAGTCAAATTTGAGTTGCACAATACACGCTTACAAATTGACAATTACCTATTTTATTTAGACAAAGGTATGTCTAACAAACGAGGACGCTTAATATTTATACCTTTATAAAGTTTATAATATGTAAATATAGGTTTCGCATTTTATAGTTTTGCATCAGTTTATTTGGTTTTAGACATCCCTTAATACATTAATAAATAGACGTGACTGTCAATAAGACGTGTGTTTGAAATTTATGGTAAGAGAAAAAAAACTTTTTTTGCACTTTATGTTTAGGGGAGATACCTTTCGGCGAGCGCGTTGCGAAGCGCGCTCGCTTCCAGGGAGCAGAGGGAACATGGGGTTCCCACACGGGGGGGGGGGGGGTCTACTCGTCTGTAGATGGCCCGAGGTATGTCGGGGCACCAGGGACTTCCTTTCTTTTCTTTCTAGTATACCTGGTTCCCCGGCTATTAGTACCCAAGACGGCGTGCGGTTTTAGTCGGTTCGAGTCCGGCATGCCGTGATATCCGAGGGGATTTCCGCACGGAAAAAAAAAAACGGGAGATACCTTTAATATTTTTTCAAGATTTTATTTTAGCTTTTTAGCTGAAATGCTACTGATGTTCTATACCTATGCAATTACAACTTTCGATTACCAATAGTCTTAAGCAAAACCGCGGATAGACAGACGGGCATTGCGAAACTATAATGGTTAAATAATTAAAACCTAATGTAATAACTTCTTTTAACATTTAACATCACTTTATTGAAAAAAAAAAACAAAAAGCCCGACTGCGTAAAAAATGTATAGGTACCTAAAACTGCAAAATCCATCCAGCCGTTTAGACAACAGTGTGGCAAACAAATACACATAAATATACTCGAAAAAAATAACCACCCTTCTGTCGCAGTCAAATAAAAATAAAGACATTCTAACACAATGACGATAGAAAACAAAAATTGGCAAATATTTTGCCTTTACTTAATCGTCAGGTTAGTTGTTTATTTAGTTGTCCGTGTGATGACGAATTAAGAATACGGAGGGTCACCACCCCACTATTCATCCCACGGGTGTCGTAAGACCCGACTAATACTAATACCAACCCGTCTGGCCAGCGTGGTATAGTAGGCCAAAACCTCCTTTCTGACAATGCAGTGGCAGTGGACTATTAAAGGCTGTTGATGTGATGTGATGGAAACCGTCAGGTTCTGTTATTGTACTCAGATTCAGTCAGATTCTGGACAAGCGATACATGGCTATTAACTTCACTCTTTACTATGTGTAAATAAATAATGGAGAAAGTAATTTTAAATACATTAAAAATAACAAGCAGTAGTTACATCTAATATGTAACGTCTGAGAGCTCATTTACCATTGGACGGCCAACACTAGCACCGCGCGCGTATTGGTCAAATCAAATATCGAGGTCTTTCCCAGCTTCCTGTTACACAATTCCGTCCCTTTTCACAAAATCACAGATTTGACAAAAGCCAGTAGAAATTTTTTACAAATAAAAAGTTTTTAGAAAAAAATGGGATGTGTCTTTATGCTTTGAGTTGCATTCCTCTGTATGTTCACTGCTTATATCCGTGTTTTGTGAGTGTTTGTTCAACTTCTTTCACGTACTTCTCTGATACCTTCTGAGTTCTCATTGCAGCCACCTGGTTACAATAAAAACATCATGTATTTCTACCATACTTTACGTTCAGCACAGACCGTATAAGCGAGCCGTATCACATACCTTCTCTTTGATGATTCTCCTCTCATACTTCTCCTGTTGATCTTGCTCCATGCGGAGCGCCACACCCTCGTTGTGGATCTTCTCGCGAAGCTCAGCTCTGGAAATTTAAAACTCGAATAATTTATCATGGTTAAATATTTTTGTTACGATCGTTAGGAAAATATTATCATAAAATAAATCTATATATATAAAAGAAAGTCGTGTTAGTTACACTATTTATAACTCAAGAACGGCTTTACCGATATGGCTGAAAATTCGTGAGGAAGTAGCTTAGAGCCAGGAGACGGACATAGGATACTATTTATTCCGTTTTTTTTTTTAACTTACTAAATTCGAAAATCGGCTTATTTATTGTCTTAAAGGCGGAACAGAGTTCGCCGGGTCAGCTAGTAATACTTAAACTCAAACTCAAACTCAAACTCAAACTCAAACTCAAACTTTCTTTATTTCATAAAATTTCCAAAATTGTTTGAAATCGTCTTCCATGTAGACTCTAAAGTCATAGATCAACACACACAAAAGCAACAATCTCTGTTTTGTCAAATAGTAACCAAATAAATTTAACAAAAATCAAACCCATACAAAATCTATGATATGCCTGTGCCGATCTACAACCGCCCGTTTCCAAGGGGTTGAGCCTTATGAGAAGAAAGGGCAAACAAACTCATGGCCACTCTTTTGCAATTCACAAGTAGATACAATGGCACTATTAAATATATCACAACATTGTTTTGATGTGTGCTAGTATGTCCGTTATTAAGGACTTAAAGGTGAAAAAACAACGAAGAGAAAACAAGATTAAGAAGAAAAAACGAATACAAGAGAAAATGAAGTGAAACATAAAAAATAGAAAAAATAATAATAATAAAAAACATACTAGCCACACCACATTTTTACTTAAGAAAGAAATAGCTTGCGCTAATTAATCCCATCCCATAATAAAGTATAGTTTAATCTCAGATCATACACACAACTTGTTTGTATGATCTAAGAGTTTAATAATGAGACTATAAATTTGTTTTTTTTTTTTAACCGATTTAAAAAGCACGAAGTTGGAGAGAAAAACAGAAGGTGATCCCTTCACAGCCTGGAATCGAAGAAGCCATTCGGAGCACTCTCATATTCTCTTCTTCTACTTCTTCTCTTCAAGCTACTGTAGTCTCAGTCGCGTTTCGACCCGTCTCATCCAATACTTATAAGTATCCCCTATTCACTTATAAGTATTCTATCAGTCAATTTAGCTTTTATATTACAATCTCTGCTTAGTTTGAAACTAGATGGCGTTGTGTGACATCATCTTCTTCCTTTATCCCGCTTGATAATACTTAAGATCTCAAGAGGTATTAGCATCAGGCGGCCATCTAACACAAAGTGTTGTTCTATGTGGGGGGGGGGGGGGATCGAACTCAGCGCAGTACGAACCGGCGAGGTGATCACTTAAACCACTACACCATCGGTACAGTGTACATGAACGTACCTGGCGCGTTCTTTGTCATTAATCTGTTTCATGATCTCCTGTCGGTGCTTCTCGATGCGGGCTTTGCGTTTGTCGTCCAACTGTAAAGAATAAAACATCTCTTAGTAAGTTTAATACATTTGTGGGTTCTTTAACAACTTTTAGAAATAGGATAGCATAGAACAGAATATAAATAAACTTGATTGTACACCAATAGAGTTTTGACAAGGAATAAAGCATGTGAATAGATACAAAAGATGGTATCAGGGATTTCCTTCCTAGGGTACACCTGGTTCCCCGGCAACTGGTACCCGAGGCGGCGTGCGGTTATTGGTCGGTTCGAGTCCGACATAACCACAGGTGGGTGGTATCCGAGGGGATTGCCGCATAGAAAAAAAAAGGTTCAAAAGGTGGCCTTATCGCTAAAAGCAATTTATTGCCAGCATCCTTTGGATGGAAAAAGACGACAATAAATAGATAAAATTTTGGGTAGGTTTGATAAAATATTTTGATTTTGCATAACATTTAACAATAACTTTAATTTTAGAAATTTTATAAATGGCCGTCTGATCCAAAATTAGACAAAGCCTGTGCTATGGTAACCAGAATGCTGATAAACATACTTATGTATTTTTAAATACATACGTATTATAGGCCGTGTAGTGACGGATTAAGAATACGGAATGTCACTACTCCAATTCATCCCGTGGGTGTCGTAAGAGTCGACTAAGGGCGCAAAACAACGCAGGACACCAGCACTGCAAAAAGAAGGAAAACTTGACACAAACCCTATACCAACCCGTCTGGCCAGCGTGGTATAGTAGGCCAAAACATTCTAAGGAGAGGCCTATGTCCAGCAGTGGACTATTAAAGGCTGTTGATGTGTGATGTGACGTATTATGGATAAATTACAGACACCAGACAGAACAAATGGTCATTTTCGTAACATAATTATTTATCCTGAGTGTGAATCGAACTGTGACTTAGCAGCAAGGGTATTCAATAGACCAACAGGCATGGTAATCAGTTATCTAACCTGTTTCTCTTTCTGGATGAACTCCTCGTTCTGCCTCGCCGCGTTGTTGAAGTTCTGCTCGTCTTTGGCTATCTCGCGCGCAATCAGGCGGTGGATATCTTTAATCTATAAGAAAAACAGATTTCAATACTTTGCACTGGTGTTAAGGGCAAAGTACAGTCACAGGCGAAGTTTTTTTCTCCTCCAACTCAAAAGTCACAAGTGCGTTGCCGCCCTTGGAGTCCCTCTCGCTCGAGTCAGCCGGAGGGGCATTTGGGCTTCGGTAACCTCACTCACTCAGTGTAAGGCAGCGAAAGATCTGCTTAACTCCGGTTTTGTGTGGCCGTGGTATAACTCCGGTCGAGCCGGCCCATTCGTGCCGAAGCATGGCGAACTGACGTGAGTAACTTTCATATAACCGTAGATCTTTCATTTTACCCCCTTAAAGGTGAAATTTCCAAAAATTTTTTTTTTCGTGGATGCTTACAACATAAAAAGCACCAGCTGCCAAAATTTTAAGTTTGTAGCCCCAGCAGTTTAGGCTCTGCTTTGATTAGTGAGTTAGTTAGTCAGTAATTTTATATGTATAGATGTACAGTTCGCATTTACCTGTTGGACCCTGGCCTCGTGCAGATGTTTCATCTCCTTGTTTCTCCTGATGGCAGCATCTCTCTCTTTGCGGCGGTACTCACGTTCGACGTCCTCCTGGATCTTGAGGTTACGGATGCGCTCCAACTCCTCTTTAAGTTCTTGCTCAGCCTAGAATAGAGTCGGAGTACTTACAATGGACATACTGTTACGAGCGTGGTATTATAATAAATAAAAGTTGTCACTTAATTACTTTTATTGCACTGTATTTACAAACACTCACTATTACAAACAAGAGACCACTATATAACTTTTTTTTTTTAGTCGCCAAACTCGTTAGTCGCACTAGAAATTCACTTCGATGTTAACGGCCTTCGCGCACCGCTTTTATAGTGCTATCGAATTTACTAGAATCACATCAACAGCCTTTAATAGTCCACTGCTGGACATAAGCCTCTCCTTAGAACGGAGGTTTTGGCCTACTATGCCACGCTGGCCAGACGGGTCGGCTTAGGGTTTGTGTCAAGTTTTCCTTCTCTCTGTAGTGTTGTTGTTCTGCGTAGTTTTTTCCCTTAGTCGGCTCTTACGACACCCACGGGATGAATAGGGGTGGTGACACTCTGTATTCTTAATCCGTCACAACACGGACAGCATATAATATTATATTTAAATTCATTATCATTCAAATTTACTAGAATGATCCCTAGTATTCGATAGTCCGTTCCAGACCAAAAAGAATATCCCAGTATCAGTTACGCGTTACTTGCAGCGCCATCTAGCGCTGCGTATGTCAGAATTATTAATCACAATCTCAATAGTTGTACTTTACGTGATACTAAATGGCGCTGTCCCCCCACATTCCATACACTTTTGGAACGATCAAACTATATAATCATATGGCGCAACAATACTTCTTCCTATAAAATGCAAAAATTGGAATGGATAAAATGAACACTGGAAAAATTAATAGGCATTAAAACAGTATGCATAAAAATAATTGCACTGATCGGAAATTGAACCCGCTATCTCTGACGTAACTTGTAGTTTATGGCGGTTTTCTTTATACCTTTTGAGCTTTAGCAATATGATCGATCCCTTTCTGCTTAGCAGCCTTGATGGCTTCAGCCTCAGCTCTGTTGCGGGACTCGCGCGCCATCTTCTGCTTCAGGAAGTTTGAGATGCGAAGATCCATGATGCGATCCTCTTCGTTCTGGAGTTGCTTGTAGTACAGAAGCTCCGCATTACCTAGGTTATTTAGGAGTCGGAATAGAGTAAGGATTTCCTTGCCACATCAATATGGCTATCCACATTTTTATACTAGAGAAGTTCAAACTACCCCCTATTAAATAATATATTTTAGCTAAGAAAACTCTTCATCAAGTTTAGTCGTTTGGCTAGCCTGTTGGTTTAGTGGGTAAGTGACCCTGACTGCTAGGCCAGAGGTCATGGGTTCGATTTCCACTTAGGACAACTATTGTGTGATGAGCACGAACATTTGGTCTGTGTTATGGTGTAATTTATATATTATATGTATGGATTTAGAAATAGATAAGTATGTTTATCAGCAGGCTGGTTACCATAGTACAGGCTTTGCCTAGTTTAGGATCAGACTGCCGCGTGTAAGATGTGTTAAGTTATTATTATTATTATTTTCCAAACATAAAAAAACTAAATCTAAATCGATCCATCCGTTTAGGAGCTATGTTGTCAAAGAAAGACGCACAAATACACACGTTAAACTGATACCACTACTCTCTTTAGCGTGATGGGTTCCCCAATCCATCTGTATAAACAATATCTCTTTCCTAGCATTGACTTTCCTTCTCATGGCTTTCCTTTTAATAAATCCTCAATCTTCCCTTTTAACTCCTCAGGTTCACGGCTATGAGCTTTCCCCTCTTATTATGTAAATGGGACTAAACCTCTAGTTGGCAGAATGTGAGCGTCTTATACACCTCTGCTTGTCTCTTCGAGTATATGGGCGTGAGTACATATATATGTATGTGCTTATATACGATTACACCGTCTAATGCACCCTTATATCAAGCACGATTCTCGGACTAAACAAAAAATAACTCTAACATAAAGAGATAACTCACATTTGCTTAAACAAGATAACTATCGGCAAATTTACTTTGAATATAAAATGTTAATTTTATTCTTGTCGACGTAATTTGTACCTAATTGAACAATAACGAAGGTCTTTATTCATTTGTCTCCAATAAGTGATATTTATGTACCTTGGTCCAACATCTCCTTAAGCTTGGCTTGGCGGTGATGTTTCTCTCTGAGTTTTTGCGCCTCGTCGATCTGCATGGCAATGTTGGCTTGATTTACGCGGATGCTCTCTTCTTCTATGCGTTCTGCTTCCATTATCTAGAAGAGACAGAAACGAAACAACTTTAAAAATAAATATTCTTGAACATGGTAGCTATGGTAAATTTCCTTTCTAAGTAGAGGTCTATGTCCAGCTGTGACATATGAAAGACAGTTGATGATGGTAGCTGTGGCGGAACCACGCCTCGGGAAATATGGGCCGGCTCGACCGGGGTGATGTTACGCCCTCACAGAAATCTGTTGTTAGGCAATTCTTTCATTGCTTTTTAACGTGGGAATGAGGTTATTCTAAGCCTAAATTCACCCCTCCCCTACCTTTCACCTGGTACCCGGAGACGGCGTGGGATTTTTGGTCGGTTCGAGTCCGACATAATCACCCGACTGGTGGATGGTATTCCAGGGGAGTTCCGCTCAGTAAAAAAAAAAACGAGTGTGCTTTACACACGACTGAAGTAAAACTTCTTTAAAGAAACGAGAGAAAGAGAGAAAAAAATGTGTGCTCGCACCTTTCTCTCTTGCCCCTACAGTAATATACGAAACGTAATTCTCTCTTTCTATCTTCACTAACTTATATCTCCCTCTCAACTTCCGCGCCCGATCACACTTTTCGTAAAAGAAGTTTTACTTAAAAAAAGGGTAAGGGGATATGTTATAGCTAGCGAACTCCTATTACCTTGGCAGTCGCATGAGCTTGGATCTGTTCCTTCAAAGCTGCAAGGTTTTGCAGCCTCAAGTTGTGGCGCCTGTCCTCGTCTGCCTCTTCGCGGTTGACAGCAGCTTGACGATTCTCTTCCATTATGGCATCAAGTCTATGTAAAGCGTATAATCAGTTTTTTTTTTATAAAAACCGTCACAAACTGTATTCTTTGTATGACCCAAAGTATTAATTTAATGAAATTTCCGTGAAGGATTAAGAATACATAGTGTTTGACCCTACTCATCACGTGAGTGTCGAAAAAACAGAACAACAGAACTGTAAAGAGAAGGAAAACTTGAAACGCAACGAAAAGTGAAAATAAATTTAATTTTACCGCCGTTCCTCTTCGTCCATCTCTTTCTGGATCAGCTCTTTCTCTGTTATCTGGGCGTCCCTTATGGCGTGGCATTTGGACGCAAGGATTATGCGGTTGCACAGACGGGGACCCTGCATGTTATCAGCCAAGAGCACTGAAAGAAAGAATAAAACCAAAATACTTTAATACTTTTTTTAACCCTGTGTATCCTACATGATAACTTGGGTGTAGAAGTAGGGAGAAGAAGTTGGATCAAGAATTTAGTAACTGGATGTAGTAAGTGCTTGATTCAGCAATATCGTGGGAGGGCTATGCTTCAGCAGAAATAGGCCAGCTCGACCAGACAGAAAACCGGTGTTGAGCAGTTCTCACGTTGCTTTTCACCGAGTTAGTGAGGTTCCCGGAGTCCAATCCTCCCCTTGACCTGATTCTAAGAGGGGAAGAGTTGCTAAAAAGCCAGCAGCACACTTATTTGTGGCTCTTAAGTTATAGCTGTCCATCTGCTCGTTTAAACCCATAAAAAAACAATGTGACTCTTGACGAGGCTTTTAATGATCAGGCTATAGATTCCATACATAAAATAAACGCATTGTAAGCAGGTATTACAGAGGTCAAGTGCTTAAACAAAAGTGTAAATTTTAAATATTAGTCACACTTCCGATATTTCTAGTTCGAATGCAATTCGCGATGGTCTCTTAGAGTTTAAGTTGCTGAGTCTCAACTGGTTTGCTGGACTAAGTCCTCACTGCAATACTATCCAAGTGTAGTGGAATCAAGAGACTGTTGATCAAACAAGTCACAATAATATTAAGTAATGAAGTTCTTATAGGTTTAAACCTTGGGCGATTTACTATACACATGAAATCCCACTCCTAACGGTAGTACGGTAGGCTTCATGTCTCGTAAGCCGACTTCAGAGTAATATACTTATTTTTATTGGTACTTACTCTCAGCTCTCGATATGGTATGCGCAGCTTGGTCAGGCCCTTCGAGTTCAGGGTCGGCTTGCCCCGTGGCCGAGTCAGCACCTGGCTGAACTTGCAGTTTAGCCTTGAGCATCTTCTTCCTATTTTCGGATTCCTTAGCCGCCTTCTGAACAGCCTCCTCTTGTGCATGAAGGGCTGCAATTTGTTCTTCTTGAGTTACTATCTGTAATTGTTTTAAATTTATAATATTGGTACAATGATGCTTCTGCTTACGTACATACAGAATTTTTTCACTATCCTAAAATTCAGCTTGCGCCTATTCCACTTTAATCATGCATATCACACATGCATGCACATTAAGGGTGCTTTTAACGAGGCCCTTCTTCAGTACACTACCGAGCTGGTCAGTTAACTATTTTTCCTTTGCATGGTCATATAAGAACGATGCAGTTGATTACTAGTTATTAGATGGACTCACTAATACCACAATATTTACGACTGCCGTTGTAAATAGATCATTCTTTAAAGATCACTCCTATACTCATGAAAAAATCATGAAACGGACACAAAAAACACCAAGACTCAGAAGAACATTTGTGGATCACACTGTGTTGAACCTACAACACTCAGAGCAGTAGGAAGTGGAAAGTGACCGCTTGAACGACTACGCCATCCGTGAAGGCGACTGTTTAATGTTCACCAGGACTTTAGCTTTGCTATTTTAACCAAATACAGCCAAATTAACCTAAAAAAGCTACAGATTTTACTCCGGAGGTCAAGCTTGCTGGTATTTCAGTAATACACGATACCTTGGCCTGTTTCTTCAGTCTTTCAAACTCAGTTTTATGCATAACAGCCGGATAGTAATTAGGCTTAGTGCTTGGGACTAGGAGGCGTCTCCAGCCATCGATTTGAGGCACCGTCACAAACTCCTTCTGCGGTAACTCGCATTTGTGGATGGGTTTGTTTGTGTCCGGGAACTTAAGCCGGCATTCTGAGGGTCTGAAAAGAAACGGGTTGAAGGTACTGATAGAGGATTTATTCATACTTTAGAAGCGCTTCTGACTAGAGTTGCAGTTGTTCACGGGCGGTGGTAGTTACTATAATAATAACTTGATTAACGAAACACACGGCCGTCTGACTACTAACTTCTATTGTAACCAGACTGCTGACAAAGCTATTTATATATTTCTAAATAAGTAAATCATCCACAGCCTATTGGTATTGGTTGTGGGCTTCGGTTTCCGCATTTAGACTCAGAGTGGTCCTTTATGCGTCGAGGATTGGTTGACTAGGTGAGCCAGCCTAGCTCCTTCCATATATAGCCTATAACACTCCACAGCTGGGCATAGGCCTCTCCTTAGAAAGGAGGTTTTGGCCTACTATACCACGCTGGCTAGACTGGTTGGTATAGGGTTTGTGTCAAGTTTGCCTTCTCTCTGCAGTGCTGTTGTCCTGCGTAGTTCGCTCCCTTAGTCGCTTCTTACGACACCCACGGGATGAATAGGGGTGGTGACACTCTGTATTCTTAATCCGTCACCACACGGATCGTAATACGTAAATATTATAGATAAACTTTACCCAAAGAAGGAATCGTGCTCATTATACAATATTTGTACTAGCTGGAAATCAAGCCCACGACCACTGTCTTAGCAGTCAGGATCTCTAAATTCTAAACTAACGAGCCCGTCAAGTTACTAACCTTCAGGTGACCTGGTGAACATGAAATGAAACAGTTTTTAATACGTGTAAGCGATGAACTCTGAAGTTCTAGACCAATGTATGAAGAGATTTCTATTAGACAGGCGTGTATCATCTTCGTTTAGATCAGGGATTCCCAAAGTGGTTTCCGGGAGGTCGACATAAACGAAAACTGATGTTGGGGGTCGACGAGGTCTAAAAATCAACCCCTATTAATTAACACAAGTACTTATTTGAAACTTTGAAGATACTGCATTAGTTGTGTTACGTGTACCAACTTAAAATAAGTATGACTAATATTTTGATGATGATTGATATGAATAGAGATTTGGCTATGGGGGTTTGAGGTATCAGTCCATTTTAGAAAAGGGGTCTCTTAGTCTTCACCTAAATAGTTTGGGAATCCTTGGTCTAGATTGTCATCTTCCATGAGGTAAGTTTGAATACCACATTCACACAACGTCATCTAGTCCCAAACTAAGCAGAGAGTTTACTATGAGTACTAGACAACTGATATAAATACAAATAATACTAATTTTTTTTGTAAATACATACATATTATACATAGAAACACTCAGACCAAATCAAACATTAAATGTTCACGCATACCTATATTTAAATGGAGCGGATATCGAACCCGACCTTTGAATATGCAGTCCGTTACACAAACCACTACGCCATCCGGTCATCAATAAAAAGTTTAGCTAGGTATCACATGCCCCATAACTTACATAAAATCCTTTTAGTGGATTTTAACAAAGTTTTCATTTATGATGAAGAATATACTATTCTAATTATTTAAGTAACTAATAAACTCTGGGCAACGTCGAAGATAATCGCATGTTATAATCGCGGTTGATTCCCTTGTGGCTCTGACAACCTGACTCAGTTTTCTCTTTCTCTCGGTCTCGAATTTCTTTCGGTTTATTAGGAGACAGTCTCGGATCAAGGGGGATTGGGAGGGGGACAAACCTGGGCACCCGGGCCTGGACGGCAGTTTCAAGGGGCACCAAAATCATAATATAATACGGTACAAAAAAAAAAAGCAATATATAGTCAAAATCACGAAAAATACCAACCATCATAATATATTTGTGACTTTTTTAAGTTATTTACCTCAAACGCTGGAAAGGGGGGGCGCTTTTATTAAGTTTCTGCCCAGGTTCGAGATCCGGGTCTGAGGAGATTCAGGGAATGACATCTTGATCACCCTACACTCCAAAATGTTCAACAGCAATTGATAACATAAGCTAGTATGATAAAAGACTAAACCTCTTACCTATGTAACTGATAGCATCCAGGATCGTCTCCCGTACTTACAGCATGGTAGGGGACCCCTTGGTGGGCAGATTTATACACTTTCGGCATTGTATACTAATAGAAAATTAAACATATAATTGACGAGCAAAGCAACTTGTTTACTATTGCTTGGCAACGAATTTTGTTGATTGGCGTTGTCTTTGATTTAGCCATAGATCAATAGAGATATGAATATAGAGAAAAAAGCATATAGTTGTCCATGAAACAAACGTTACAGGAACGCTTCTTTAGCCGCCTGAAAAAAAGTATTAAATTGTCTTTTGTCAGGTGGTAATAAGGTGAGTGCCTAATGATTGGGTCATACCCGTTCTAACCTACACTTTCTACATACTTAGATGGACTCATTATACTTAGATGGATTTATTTCGACTGTTTTTTTTTTCATTTATTTGAGTAACCAACAGTACACATACAAAAATATTATTTTCTATTATTTGCTTTCGTACGTGTACACTTTGTAGTATTTTTTATATTTTCTAGTGATCTGTTATGTTTATCTTACATTTCCACCTTACAAATTCCATGTCAAGCGATCGCCTGAAACACAGGTTTACCCTAGTTCAGGCAGGCAGCGACTAAAGTTTTTAACAAAATCTTGATATCTTTATGTGTAGAAAATCATACAATATGAATCATACTACACAGTCATAAGAATAAAATAACACTACTATAAATTTAAGCTAGTGTAATTTAGTCTAATTATTGTCTAAGATCTATGTTAAACTGAAATGTCCTACACTGTAATATTTATATTGGTCAAATAAAAATTATTATTATTATTATTATATACAACACAGAACATAAACCAGTGATCCAAACAATCACAGGTAAATACAGCATACACAAAATAGAACACAGTTTACTGACAAAAAAAAACATATTATTTATTGTTACTAAACCTTTTACACTAAAATTAAGTGGAAAAATTACAATTAAATTGAACCTAGCGATATTTACAACATCATTGACGACCGGGTGGCGTAGTGGTTTGTGTAACGGACTGCTATTCCAAAGGTCACGGGTTCGATTCCCGCTTAAGTCAAACATTTGTGTGCATGAACATTTAATGTTTGGTTTGGTATGGGTGTTTCTATGTATAATAAGTATGTATTTACAAAAAAAAAGTATATATGTATTTATATCAGTTGTCTAGTACCCATAGTACAAGCTCTGCTTAGTTTGGAACTAGATGGCTTTGTGTGAATGTGGTAGAATATTATTATTATTTATTGTTCGTCCACGAATGCTGCATTACTTGTGAGACAGATGCTCCACAAACGCAGATCGAAATCGACCAGGCAAATCTAAGTGAACATCTTTAAGGCCACTACAGGCGTTGAGCAACCTACAAAGTGGTAATGGGGAGTTGGCTCCAAGCACAGTTCTTCTTAGTGGTGGATAGAGAGAGGTTATGCGATTTCTGGGATATCTAGCTGACACATGGTAAGCTACTTTGCTTAAAAACCCAGGGCAATCAATTTTACCATTCAAGACCTTGTACATGAAAATACAATCATTTCCTTCTCTACGACTAGATAGGGTGTTCATGACATTTTTTTTATTATTATTATAATTTAATACTATTCATCATCATCATCAGCCTATCGCAGTCCACTGCTGGACATAGGCCTCTCCCATTGCACCGTACTTACATTGATTTTGGGCTTCTCGCATCCAGCTCCTGCCAGCCATCTGGCGCAAATCGTCACTCTACCTGGCTTGTAGGCGTCCTACACTACGTTTGCCGAGACGCGGACTCCACTCAAGAACTCGTTCTCCCCAACGGTTGTCGGTTCTGCGGCTAATATGCCCAGCGCACTGCCACTTCAGCTTGCTGATCCGGTATACAGACTATGTCGGTGACCTTGGTTCTCTGCCGGATATCCTCATTCCTGATTAATACTATTGCAACGTCAAAAATACAATAGTACGGCAATAGTCCCAGTAGTAGAAATTGTGTCGCAACTATTAACGCCCGCTTCCGATTATGTGTAGTAAACATTATATTTTTTTTTTTAATTCGCGGCGGTAAGACCCGTTATGGAGGATTGGCTCGAGAGGCGTCACGGGACCCTCTCATACCGACTGACGCAGGTGATCACTGGGAAAGGATGTTTCGGGGATCACCTGTGTCTGATCCGCAAGGAGCCAACGCCTGAGTGCCACCACTGCGATGGCAAGACCGTGGACACGGCTCTCTACACGCTGGCAGAGTGCCCGGCGTGGGTTGAGCAGAGGCGAGACCTCGTGGCGGCCATCGGAGTGGGAGTTCTCTCGCTCGATAGCCTGATTGCGGCTATCGTGCGGAGCGAGAGTGCGTGGAACTCTGCCGTCTCCTTCTGCGAGCAAGTTATGCTCGCGAAGGAGACGGCGGAGCGGGACCGGGAGAGGTTTAGGACTCTCCCGGCCCGCCAGGCCCGGGAACGGGCCAGGTACCGCAGGCGACTCAGGCGCCGGAGGTCGCAGAACGACCTCCGTCCTCCATAAGCGCAGGCCTGGGGGTGACAGGTGAGGCCATCTGTCACCCTAGCAGAAGCAGGCCGGGGTGGCGGCGAGCGCGTTGCGAAGCGCGCTCGCTTCCAGGGAGCACAGGGAACATGGGGTTCTCACACGGGGGGGGGGTCGTCTACTCGTCTGTAGATGACCCGAGGTATGTCGGGGCACCAGGGACTTCCTTTTTAGGGTATACCTGGTTCCCCGGCTATTAGTACCCGAGACGGCGTGCGGTTTTAGTCGGTTCGAGTCTGACATGCCACCGATAGGTGGTATCCGAGGGGATTTCCGCACGGAAAAAAAAGGTGCTTTTTAATAATACTCATATATATTGTAACAATTTTTATTTATCACAGCTAACTTAACACCTAAATAGCATGAACACAACAACATAATTATTCTATTAATTAACATGTCAATAATGTTACATAATATCTAACGATTTAGGTAAACATCTATAGGTTAAAATCAATTAAAGTAGTTAGTCCGCGTAGTTTGCTCCCTTAGTCGGCTCTTACGACACCCACGGGATGAATAGGGGTGGTGACATTACGTATTCTTACTCCGTCACCACACGGATATACACATTTTTCCCTCATAGAGGCTTCTTTGTAGAAATATTTTCTTTAAACTAAAATTCAAATCAATCGCCAGATATATATAAATGTTAATTTGGTTTGCACCGATAGAGCCCAAATTTTTAAATGTGATTTGTTACAATTGATTCACAATCATAAGTCATTTAAATCACAAACATACGTTTTGAGATATTCACGTCTTTTTAATTGGATAACAGAAATAAACACAATAAGTGTCTTGTAAAAGGACCAATGTCAAACTCAGACAATGACAATTCAATTCACTAAAAAATAACACAAGGTAAATACAGAAAAAAATATTTAAACACAAATAATAAGAAAATACCACAAGATAAAAAATAAACAGAAAAAAATATACATAACAAATTGGTTCTACGTAGGAATCGAACCCACTAACTAGTTGTATTAAGTTAAAGACGGTTCATCATTAAACAACTATGCATATAATTATTACTGTACCTTTAACCACAGCAAGCAAATTTTATATAAAAATACAAATCTCTTCATAGACTTTAATTCCATGCTGTTTATCCCCAAAGAGGGTACCTATTACCTGTGTGGAGTATTTCTGACTCAAAAATTATAAAAATACTCAACTCCAAAAATCGAAAGCAAGACTTGAGCTACATCACTAGTGTAATATATTCTGTACTAACTAAATAATTAAAAAAAAACTTTACTTCGGTTGATAACACATTTTGGTCAGTCAGTCATATTTTATTCGTGCACTTCTCGAAGGTCACCAACGCTATCTCATATATTTCTCTATATTAGTTTTGGAGTAATCATATATCCCAAAGAAGACGAAGCCCCCAATCATAAATGCGGTCATTCTTGGGGTCACCCCCGCGAACAGACCCTTGATCCCCGACGTACAGTATATATCGGTTAGTATTGTTGTAACACGCAACTGAAAACAAAACATTTTTGTTCTAAGATAGTAGGCAGGGGGGGGGGACCAAAAAAATCACAGTGAACTGTGAAAGACCGGTGATTTTTCATTCGATGTATTCGTACGTAGGTTAGGGTTACTGCTTACTCACGTGTTGTTGCCAATAAGCTGTTATCAGACGATGCATAAAGACACTATTTAACAGTAAATCTAGTAATTATTTTATTATTTATATCTACCATTCCCTACATAACAATTTAAAAAATACTAGATTTACTGTTAAATAGCGTCTAACCTAGCAACCTACGTACGCAAAAATCGAATGAAAAATCACAGTTCATGAAGGGGCACTCGAGGCAAGTCCTTTGAATTGCATGTATCCATGGGCGGTGGTAATCACTTACCATCAGATGACCAGTCTGCTTATTTGCCCCCTATACCAATACTCAATTTATCTCCTTCCTTTACCAATTAAAAAAACCATTCAAATAATTATGACCGAGTTAACAACAAGAGAAAAATCTACTACAATTTAGAAGTTAAAGTCCATTAGAAACTAAAAAAATATCTGTGATTAGTAAGTGTATAGTTACCTTATTGACGTGCAGGCCAGCGTTAGCTTCGGCGAGCATGATGCGTGTTTTCGCCAGGTCCAGGGGCGTGGTCAGCGCCGCCGCGAACATTCCCGCCACAGAACCACATGTTGCACTCTGGAAGCGCAATATCACAGCATTGAGGACCTCACTTTTGAGGTGCTTCTTTTAACAAGCGATGACTTACGATCATTGAAGATCTGCTGTGCTATCTGCACAGCAGTCGTTCATGATCAGAACATAAGCAAAACGGCAGAATCTGTGTCGGGAACTACCTGTGTCGTACTTGTATGTGACATGACTTTGGGGGATGCCTGAGGCCACTGCACTCTACATTCCAGGTGCCGACCAAGGTCTTTTGGAGTTTAGGGAACTTCCTTACAAAGAGGCTCACTTATGCCAGGACAGCGTGTGGGTTCAGTCGGTTCGATGTCACTAATTTATCATTCGATACGATTTACCATAATCATCAGTTTTTCGGGTATCTTTCGGCTATCATCATCATCCTCATCATCAGCCTATCGCAGTCTTATGACATAGGCCTCTCCCATTGCACGCCACTTAAATTTTTTGGGCTTCTCGCATCCAGCTCCTGCCAGCCATCTTTGCACAAATCGTCACTCCACCTGGACTGTAAGCGTCCTACACTACGTTTGCCGAGACGCGGTCTCCACTCAAGAACTGGTTTGCCCCAATGGTTGTTGTTTTTTCGACTATACACGATAATAATTATTCCACACATCTCACACACGGCAGTATAATAATATTTTCGGACATCTGACACACAACGCCATCTAGTTTCAAACTAAGCAGAGCTTGTACTATGAAAGCTAGATTGACTGATAGAATACTTATGTTTTTTTTTGTAAATCTATACATATTATACATAAAAAACACCTAAAGACCCGGGAATCGAACCCTACCACTGCACTACCGAAGCAATCAAACACATTACTCCTACTGATTCTCTTAAGAAGCGTTAAATAATTTATTTCTACTATGCAAAGCTACTGTGTACATCCTAAAGAACGAACAAACCTGTAAGCTGGTGATCTCTCCATCATTGTAAGTCTTGATGGTCGTCTTGAGGAGTTCCCACACCGGTAGCTCGATGAAGCTGAAGGGCAGGTCCCGCAGTACGGTGGAAAAGAATCCTCGGTAGACGCCTCGAAATAGACCCTCTGTCTTATATGCCTGTGTTGTGAAAGTTAAGTGGTGACATGACTCCACAATTTCTTCGCTGATTGTGGATAAATTAATTATAGTTTATAATGATGATTATTTTCCCATAAATACTTATAAATAAAATATATATAAATATATATTCTACCACATTCACACAACGCCATCTAGTTCCAAACTAAGCAGAGCTTGTACTATGGGAACTAGACAACTGATATAAATACATATATACTTTTTTTTTGTAAATACACACATATTACACATAGAAACACCCAGACCAAATCAAACATCAAATGTTCATGCACACAAATGTTTGACTTGAGCGGGAATCAACCCGCGACCTTTGGAATAGCAGTCCGTTACACAAACCACTACGCCATCCAGTCGTCAAAGTCACGTATTATGCTTCAGCACACGCCTTTTAGTACGTAGCAAAACACACTACCGTATTTTTAGGTAAGGAAAAAGCCGTTAATCCTGAAGATTCTGATCAGGATAATCGGCCCAAATTTATCTAATTATTGTATTGTCATCGGTCCCTGATAAGTGTGCGAAGTTTCAATTTTGTTCGGTGTTTTGTAGTGGGTCAAAATCACGTTCGAAGATATCGTTACTTACATACACACCAAGCTAATAAAAGCGTGTTTATAACTGCGCACGTCACGCTGTGCAGTGCAGTGTCGCCAACTGTTTTTTTCTTCTACTCAACTTTCTAAAACCTAAAGCAATTTTAAAAACCACTAAATTTACACCAAAACCCCTCAACCACGGACAAAGTATTTATTCATTGCAATCTAATTGCATCGCTTTTTAATATTATTAAAATAACTCCTTATGTCATCAGCTATCTGACATTGAAAGTCCCGTCGAAATCGGTCCAGCCGTTCCAGAGATTACCCGGAACAAACAGACAGACAGACAAAAATTGTAAAAAATGTTATTTTGGCATATGTACCGTGTAAACATACATATGCATTTAGTAAAAAGCGGTTATTTTAATATTACAAACAGACACTCCAATTTTATTTATTTGTATAGAAGATACGTAGGAACTGCTGTAAATTTGAAAAAAATCCCTAAAATAGCCCCTAAAAACTCCCTTCCTCCCTAAATTTGAGGAGATAACCCCAGAGTTGGCATCACTGGCTCTGTGTGACGTGCGCAGTGAGTGAGCTGTTTCTTATACAGACACATGTGACTTGAGCCTGATTTAACAATGAAACGTCAAGTTTTTTTTTATGGAATAGGGGGCAAACGAGCCGACGGGTCACCTGATGGAAAGCGACTACCTTCGGCCGTGAACCCTTGCAACTCAGGAGTCACAAGCCGGCCGTTGCTGGTTGCCGGCCTTTGAGGAAGAAGTACGCTCTTTTCTTGAAGGTTTATTTAAAAAAGCGACATTACTGCGAGCAAAGCCGCGGGTAATAGTTAGTGACTGTTTATATACTTACATCTAAGAGTATAGATATGCTACTCTTTTGTTTGATGCCAACATAAGTCTGCTTTCTCTGCTTAGCTACTTCCGTGGGCACGCGGATGAGGCATGCCAGCTACGAAAATACGAAAAAAATATTATTTATTAACATCACTGGTAACCCACAATGTTACTTAATAAAGGGTAAGAAAAGTATGAATTGAAAAAAGGGCAACACAGCTCGATACAGTTCAGTGCAGTACAGATGGTATAAAATAACAATCACATTTGGTATATCATATGACTAGCTGACCCGCGCAACTTTGTCTGCGTCTCTCCATAGTAATAAATTTTCTCTGTTTTTGAAACATTCTTCATTGGTGCTCCTATTGGTCTTAGCGTGATGATATATAGCATATAGCCTTCCTCGATAAATGGGCTATCTAACACTGAAAGAATTTTTCAAATCGGAACTGTAGTTCCTGAGATTAGCGCGTTCAAACAAACAAACAAACAAACTCTTCAGCTTTATAATATTAGTATAGATTTATAAATCATATCACCGCACCTGTGACTGTTTTACAAAACCACTGCTACTTAATTATTATTATTGCGCTAGCGCGAAAGGTCTGAATCTAATAAAAAGGGTCGTAATCTTTGATAAAAAGAATTTTGAATGATTTAAATGCCATTGATCTTCGTCTGTGACGACATCACAATGACATGTGAAATCGCCGTGACTAAAACGAATCATTTCATCAAATAAATATGATTTAAAAGCAGGAATAATTTCCATGCCTACAGTGTAGTGCAGTTCAGCTTTTTCCACTCGTTTTTGGTATAAGGGGCATACGAGCAGACGGGTCACTTGATGGCAAGTGGTTACCGCCACCCATGGACACAATTCAAACTTTTAATTCCGGATATTTAAACTAATATTATGAAGCTAAAGTTTTTTTTTGTTTTGTTGAACGAGATAATCTCAGGCATTACTGCGTAGAAATAAAAAAATACTGTTGTGTTGGATAGTCCATTTATCGAGGAAGGCTATAAGCTATATAACATCACGTTACAACCAATAGGAGCCGAGCATCAATGAACAATTTAGCAAAAATGGGAAAATGTTATTCCTTTTGATAGACGAAGGTGCTTGCCTCAGCTATTTACAACCTATGCATTTTAGTGGTACACTTTACTGACAAACTATCATCCTTTCAGGTTTGGGCTTTGGCACAGATATTTCGATTCATATCTAAATGTGTTATCTACCATAAAAATATTACTTAACACATATTTAAAAATAAACAGAAGGCAACAATTTGATTGATTATAATTTTATTATACTACTAACGCCATCTGTCGATAATTATAAAATCAATTATAATCAATTGAACTGTTGCTACTAACGCCACCTGTTAGAAAATCAAAGAATTAGTAGCGATGTAAAAATAACGAGTAGTTAAAAATTCGCCGAATTTCTTTGGTTACCCACAAATAAATTACTATCCCTCCTAAAGTATCGCTCTTTGCTAGTTATATGGTAAAGCTAATGGAAGGTTGTTAAAAATTTAAGAGCTCACCACTTCACCAACGCTGGCAGCAAACATATGCACAAAGGGTAGAAAATGTGGTGTGACTAAAGGTTGGCAAGCTATCTTCGTAGCTTCGTATGAGACGAAGAACAGGCTAGCCGTCGGCACTGATGTGGTGGCTACCGTTAAAAGTCCTGTGAAGAAAAGGGTTTTTGTTAAGGGTCATTACCAAGAGACACTGCATTGGCGCTCTGTGAGTGAAGAACCTCCTTTCTAAGGAGAGGCCTATGTCCAGCTATGATGATGAGTGAAGAAAGTGCTAAGTTTGAAACTAGATGGCGTTGTGTGTCAGATGTCTGAAAAATATTTATTATTATTATTTAATGACTGCCTGGTCTCACAAGAGTTTTGTACTACAATCACTCAGGAAACAGTTTTTTTAATGACTTACCTCTATAAACTCCTGTGAAGCCTCCAGCTCTTTGAAACCCCTGAGCACTTTGTAATCTTGTCTTTAGTGTGTCCAAGGGGTAAAGTGCTACATCCACTGAAAATCCAGCTAAAGCACCAGCCTGAAATAGAATTCCATATCATCATCTGCCTACCCTTATCCAATTTTTATTTGGGGTTGGCGCAGTATGTATGATACTTCCATTCTGCTCTATCATTCATCGTCACTCAAACAGTCCATCCCTTTTCTTTGGTCTTCCTTTTCTCTTGTACCCTTCAACTCCCATTCCATTTACTAATATGAAACAAAGAAAATTCTTTGCACCACTTTTTAAGCAAATCATGGCACACAGAAGTAGGTATATCATATTTTTTAACTTGGATCCATAGGCCGTTCTTTTGCAGTCCCTTTTAAAAATTCTTTTGCAAGGTTTTTGTGTCTTTTTTCAGCTGTCCTAACCTGCATTTTTCTATGCTTTTATGCAGAAGAAGTGTACAAAGTTTCAAAGAATGTATGCTATAAAGGCAAATTATGTAAAAATGGCTTTATAAAAAAAAAAATTTGACCTGCCATGTTAGAAAAGTGTATACAACGACAGTTCAAACTATACTGGCTATATATAGCAGGCATTCAAGAAGGTCTAAATTGGACCACAATTAAATCTCTATTAAGTATAATCTGCCACATCTCTCACCCTAGATCATCTGATCCTAAACTAGGCAGAGCCTGAACTATGGTAACCAGACTGCTAGTTGGGTTTAGTGCTAGTGCAGACTGCTAGTGGTGCCATGAAGCCAGTTCCACATAGTAGGTACTGATGTAACCTTAAAAATGCAATTTTGTACCATTTGTTCCATGTAATTTTATACTACTTTTACAGCTGACACTAATTTAATTAAAATTATTTTATTTATAAACCTTTTTTATAAATGAAAGAAAATCTGGGAAAATTACTGAAAGTTAAGAAAAACAAATTGATACATAAAATAAAACTGTAAGGGAGGTGACATTGAACATGGCAAATAAAAAAAAAAAAAATAAGCACAAAATATGATTTTTATAATTCTTGTCTGTCTGTCTGTGTGTCTGTTGTGAATAAAACTTTGGATTTATATAACAGATAACCGTAGTCCTGTGTAGCATATAGGGTACATTTTATCACACTTTTATTCGAACGAGCTAGGCTACAAGTGTTAGGAGATTTTATAAAAAGTTGGTACTCTTGCTACTATGGATATGAATCTTAGGTAAAAATGTGCTATATGGAACTACTGGTTCTTGTCAGACATGCCTATAACTGGATGTTTCTGTTGTCTGAAAATCCAAGCCTCCAAGTTTAAGTGATACTATTAGCAAAACATAATTCGACAAGCCTGTTGATCTAGTGGTCAGTGCTTGCTAAGCCGGTTGTGGGTTCGATTCCCATCCAGGACAAATATTTTGTGATGAGCAAGGTCATTTGTTCTGTGTCTGGGTGTAATTTATCTATAATATATATGTATTTAAAAATATACAAGTATTTTTATCAGCAGTCTGGTGACCATAGTACAGTATCTGCCTAGTTTGGGATCAGACGTGTGAGATATATTTATGTTATAATTTTTCTGCTGGAAAAGAGAGCTGTGGCACATTATTTTACTAACAAACTTAAGCAAGTTTGGTAAGTAAAGATAATAATAATGACAGTATTAAAAAGTACATCCTCTTATTAAATTAGTACATACAGACTTTCCAGTCTTAAATTCCCATGTTTTCATTAAATTGGTATTTCGTAAGCGAGATAAAACATATCGTAAGTGTAATAAATATAATTCTAATGAACTTACAAACAAAGGTGGCAAATACTTTGATTGGAAAGTCTTCGGCGTATGTAATTCACTCATTTTAATTGTGAACAATATGAACACGAATTTATTTGAACAAATGTTGTGAACTGTAAATAAAAATTCCGGAAAAAAATTATAACCTCAAAATTGAGAAATCGTCAATGAAAATAAATTAGGGGAATATAAATATTTACAATTGAATGATTATTTGAATTAATTGTCAAATAGTTATAAGTTAAAATACATTAATTCCGATTCGAATTGTTACGTAGATATTTGAATTATTTATTTGCCCGCACTTGCGACGTTCGCGAATTTCGTGAAAACATAACATCGAGCATGATTTGTTTGCACAAGGAGAAAAAATATGTTGAAAATATAGTTTTGTAAGGTACCTGGACCGCTAAGGAATAAAGTTTTGACAGATTTGATATATTTCAAACGTTTAGAAATCTTACTTGCAATTAAAAAACTAACTTCACCTGCATTGATCATGTTCGTTCATCATTATTTTCAAACTTTTTCAAAATTTTACTTTTAAATATTAAATAAAAAAAATCCTTATCATTTTTCGGAGAGCATAGTTAAGGCATAATGTACTGTTTCTTTTACTTTCAGTTAATTGAATATTTAGTATATTTCTCTAGCTATGTCTGAAGCATACAAAAAAGTATTTTACCTACATTTTAGCGTTTTATTGCTATTTAGTTATTCAGAATTTAGATTTAGTGTAAAATATACTTACTTGTGTTGGTACTGGTACGGTAAGTACGAAATTATAATCTACCGGCTACTGCCTTCTAGCTACCTACTACGACTACTTGCTATTACATTTACCAAGTAGTATACTACCATTCATTCGCAAAGAGTATATTGAATAATATGAGATTCATTCGACTACTCAGTCAGAGAGAGTACTCATATCAAAGAGCTTATAATTATATGTTAGAGGAAGCGAACAAGGCGCTATCTCATACGTCTGGTGGAGAGAGAAAGAAGATTGTTTTGGTCTTGCATCTCTTTCTGCTCTTATCTCTGATTGGCTATTTTTGTATGTCCTCTCTGAGTGGTGGTGGTCAGTCACTCAGTGCATGCAGAGATCAAAGAGAGATGAAAGATCAAAACAGTATTTTTTGTCTGGCTACCGGCCGTACGCTACAACTTACAGAGGAATATACAGTACGCTTCCTCTATTTAAATTATTTCTATGACTCAAATACTCAGTGGCCGGTCAATGCTAAAAGTTTTTCGTCATGTTGCATGGTTATTGCACTATAGGCTGGAATAATGTGTGTTTAATATGCCAGCTGACTTCCGGGTACAGTCGTAAATATAGTGATATAAGGTTATGATCATTGATAACAGAATCTTGAAAGTCAAGTTTACATAACATATTTTTTAAAAGTTAGTGACAATGAAAACCAAGGCAAAGACTTATAAATCCTTATATCTCGCACCAATACTTGTAAGTAAAACTTATTTATTTTAAAGTTTTCAGTTAATAAAATAAAGTTTCAGAGTTATAAAAAAATTATAATATTTGTAGTCAAATCTTTTCAAACATTTTTTATGCTTGTGTAAACTAATACAATCAATTTTCATAGATATAATACTTAAAAAGCTATTTGTTTTTAGGGAGGAGGTGTTGCTGGAATATGTGTGGGTACAGCTATTTATCCGCTGGATACCCTAAAGACTCGGTTACAAGCAGCTCAAGGTTTTAAAAAAGCTGGAGGCTTTCATGGAGTCTATAGAGGTAAAAAAAGTCATGCAATTGAGAGAAATAATGTGATGTAATAACAAGATTATTACCACAATATTTGATCATTTGGTGCTTATACAACATACGTCCTTTTGTAAAATTTAACAAAATATTCATAATTTTTATTATTTATTGTTTAAATATTAAAACATGGTTTTAAAAAAAGCTTTAATAAGTAATTAATTAAAATTATTATACAAAGCTGTTTATGACTGAATGCAATACAGCATTGTTTGTTTATGGCCCCAAAGAAAACCGGTGTTAAGCAATTCTTTTGTTGCCTTTTACTGAGTCAGTGAGGTTAACGGAGCCCAAATCGCCCTACTCCAAGGGCAGCAACGCACTTGTGACTTTTGAGTTGCAGTTGCGAATGGGCAGTGGTAGTTGCTTACCATCAGTGACCCAAACAGCATACTTGTTTGTTGTAATGTTAAAAGGCTGGCAACACATTTGTGAATTCAAAGTTACAGGTGCTTGTGGCAGTATTTACATAGTATTAGGTGACCTAGCTGTTTGAGAGAAAAATACTACACATCATAACATCAACAGCCTGTAGTAGCCCACTGCTGGACATATGCCTATCCTTTTTTTTTTAAGGAGGTTTTGGCCTAATATTCCACGCTGGCCTGACGGGTTGGTATAGCGTTTGTTTCAAGTTTTCCTTCTCTTTGCAGTGCTGTTGTCCTGTGTAGTTTACTCCCTTAGTTGGCTTTAATGACACCCACAGGATGAATAGGTGTGGTGACATTCCGTATTCTTAATCTGTCACCACACAGCATGATGCAGGATTTATACGTACTTTGTCTTGTTTTTACTATAAGGCTCTGGTGTATATCTTCTACGTAGATGTTCTACAGTAATGTTAATTTTTATAGGACTGACGACAGCTCTAACCGGTACTGCAGCAATGAACAGCCTCTTCTTTGTGTGCTATGAGACTATCAAAGAGATCTCTGAGCCACTCGTGGCACCGAAGTATGTTCCCGTTGTACACATGTTTGCAGCCAGCTTCTGTGAAGTTGTGAGTTTTCATCTCATTGTTACTTTATGGGACTAGTTATATTTTTCAAATTCAGAAAGAGAGCATACGAACATCTGTGGCAATCGTTATGGGTATTGGGAGCTGGTGATGGTAATTGTTGCTACTTTTTAATAATAAGCATATGATTATATGATTGATTATTGTACCTGCGATTTCATCTGTGATAAATGACTAGTGTGATTTGGTTATAGACAAAGATACCAAGGATCATCCTAAAAAGTTCGACAACAGTCAAATGCTAGGTGATATCGAAGTTCTGTAGATATACTAGGGCTGTGGAGGTTTTTTTTTTTAGTCGTTTTTCCCCGATCATGTTGTCACCGGGACCTTATTTATCTATTACTCTATGCATTTATATCTACACTATCCCTTGTCAGGTGGGATTTCTGACATTCTATTTCTTGGCTAGCCTTACGTATTCTATCTATTTCCTTTAGTTTTACAATTTTCTTTAGATTTACATGTATTTTCTAACTTACATGGGTTCTTTTAACTGTTTTACTTATTATTATGTTTCTAAATTCTTACATTTCCTACTTCCTAGCTCTATTTTTACATCTATAGATCTTACATCTGCATATTCATTGCTTATCATCTTATTTTTACATTCTTTAGTTTACTGTTTCTTAATTCTATTCTTATACCTATTTTTTGCACAACAGTATGTGCTTTTCCATTTCATTATTTTTAGAATTCTGTGTTTAGCAGGAATGGTGAGTTCCTGTTGTGTTGTGTACTTTCCTTCTATGTTTTTTAAACGCTTTTACCTAGGCAATAATATATATATATATATATACTCGGGGCTGTGGAGGTTTGATGGCAGTCGCTTCACCTAAAAAAGTAGAAGTTAAGCCGTTTCGTAGTGGACTGAAAGCCGACCCCAACTTAGTTTGGGAAAAGGCTCTGAGGGTGGTACAAGTTAGTTTTTTGTGTGTAACAGCTTCATGCAATATGTGGGAGTGGTTTCGTTAATAGGGACGGATGTGTGTAACACGGAGCCGTAAAAACGCGTATCCGTCAATCAGCCATGCTTCGGCACAAATAGATTTTTTGGAAGATTTGTTTGTAAGTTATGTACGTAGTGTAGAGGAACAGGTTTCATGTCCCTGGAACACAAAGGGAGCATCCTCCGACCAAGCGAGGTGATCTTAGGAATCGTTGGGAAGAGAATTGTTCATATCGCGATACAGGATTAGCAGTTTCTCCGTAGTTCGGTGTGTCTTCCTTAGATGGCGCTGTAGTATGTTTCTTCGTTTCACCGTATGTGAAAGTCGCCATGGTATAATGACATGTATTTAAGTATGTTTATCTATGTTCTAGAAGTTAACTTACAAGCTATGTTTAGTTTGGATTTAGATAACACTGTATAACTTTTAATTTACCTAAGAAATATACAGTGACTGATGCAATAGTTACGCAAGGATTTATCAGTCAGGAATGAGATTGAGAATTCGCGTACAAGACATTATGATATATAAAAGTTTAAAGGAAATCATTACACAACTATGAACTCAGCGTGAGTTATATTTTCTATTATATTAACCTATCACATTCTTTACAAGACTTGAATTCGATCCGAACCCGTGCAAATACGGATCTAGAAATCTCGGGCTGAATTCGGATATTACTTTTCGCATAACCTCCGATTTCTGATCTCTGATTACGGATTTGGAAAGCTGACTGACTTACTGATTTCGTAAATTTAGATCTATTTATCCTATTGCGATTTCTGATCTTTATCCACGCAATTCGAAAACACAAGCAAAACGACACAGAAGTAGTAAAGAATTCTGAGTGCGTTCATACAAATAATAGTATGGCTACTTTGGTCCGTCAATAATCTTGTCCGGAATGGAGATTCACGGATAACGGAAAGAAGTCGGATGACGAAAGTCGGATCTAATGCGTAAACACGGTCCGGTTCACGGTTCCGGATCTGATTCTGATCGGACGTAGTGCAGCAATTTGTGGATCACACAAAGTGTTGTCCCATGTTTGGATCGGACCCACAACACTTAGCGTAGTAGTAAACGGCGTGGCAACCGCTTAAACCATTACGTCATCCGTGCAGTCAAATTGAGTTAATATATTTTTGATTACTTTTAATTTAATGTCAATTTTAACCATAATCTTTTTCACCTTTTTTTTGTATTGGACCAGTATAACTTGAACTGTAATTTTCACTTTTGTATAAAAAATATATACTGGACACCAATAGTTTTACGTCGCCGTTTTTACCGGGCGGAGGGGCGGGGAAATAGCTTTTCCCCATGTCGGTTATCCTATGTTCTTCCTCACAACTCAAACGATCTCCATACCAAATTTCATCTAAATTGGTTTAGCGGTTATTAATTCCTCATGCAAATTTCCACCCTCTTTGCACTAGTTTAAAGTATAATTTCTGGGATAAAAACTATCCTATTGACTACCTCGGGGGTACGGTGGTAGCGTATGCGACTGTTGTGCTAAGATCTCGGGTTTGATTCCCGGGTCGGTCTGAATGTTTGTATAACCTGCAAATATTAGTTAGAGCCGTAGTAGAGAGAGTCTTAAGGGAAGAATGTTGAAAAAGTGTCCAGCTGTATACTGAAAATAGAGGGGGGAAAAACTACTATATGAACATAGCTGTTGTAGATGGAGTGAAGTGTGCTTACTTCAAATATTTAAATAAATCATGACTAGCGTAGTTAGTAAAATACTAGTAGGTATAAAAAAAAAACTATTATTTACGTGATTTTTTTATCTTATTCTAATTACTTATGGTTTATCCTAGTCTACCGCAGCGCCGTTGTAGAACGCGTTTTTACGGACACTTCATAAACAGAGATGGTTGTCTTTGCCTCTACCCTCCATAGTGCACAGTAATAAAATGTGGGTAGTTTCACAAAATAGGTAGAAACTTAACATTCGCAGTTTGTGTAGAATATATTAGTATTAAACCTTCAATAATATACGAGTATTTATGTGAAAATAGCGGACCCGGTAAACGTTGATTTGCCATACACATTATTTCTAGTAAAAACTAAATGGGGTATGAAAAATAAATGTATGAAAAAAACCGAGAACCGAGAATTTTGACGTGACAACGTCTTATAAATTGGTTTGCCGGGTGACACTTCAAGAAACTGCGTGACGCTCCGCTCACGTTATGCGCTCACAATGAGAGCGAGTGAGAGGCACGCGTCCCTTCCACTCGGGCATGGTTAGCCCGCCTAAGAGCGAGAGAGACAGACATAAAAAGTGAAAGGCACGCGTCCCTTCCACTCGAGCACAGTTAGCCCGCCTAAGAGCGAGAGAGACAGAGCGAGAGAGAGAGAGTGAGAGAGATAGGCATACACATTTTATTTTATTGTTTTAAATTGTTACTATTATTTCATCCTTCTTCCTACTATACGAATGAATATTCACATTAAAATTATTTTACCACTCAAAGTCGTTGTCACGTAAAACTTTCGCCCGTATACCGACTTTACAGGCAACCAATTTTTTATATATTAGATGTAACTTGAGTTATTCGCTTATATTATTGTTGTGTATTAAGCAGGTGTGTTTGAGTAAGATATAAAAAAAAAATGTTCAGATATTTAATAATATTAAAAAAACTTTTAAAAAGTTACACCGATTTCGTTGCGTCATGATTTGTAATAAACTATTCTGTATCTAAATTTTTCTTTAAATTTAAATAAACAAAACAAAAGGGAGACACTCTTCCAAAAAAAAAAAAGTTCAAATAAATGACGGAGTTCTGAAGTCACAAATTTAAAGTAGGTGTAATATTAATAAAATTCTGCTATAATGTTCTTTTGTTTTCAGATAGCATGTTTGGTGCGTGTACCGACGGAGGTAGCCAAACAACGGAAACAAACCTACATAGGTAGAAAGAATAAAAGTGCGTTGGCCATATTAGTTGATGTGAGTTGTTTTTTATTTTAATATCTGTATGTCACAACTCTTTTATTCGAGCTTAAAAACAATACTTACTATAAAAAAATTGAGTTGATGTCAAATTACATCAGTGGGACTTAGGGGACTTATTAAGTAAGCGGGACTTATTACGTGAGACATTTTTTTAAGTTGATTTTATATTATTTCAAAAACTACTTTTATAACTTTTAAACTATATCCAATTTCTGTTAAAAAAATTATGGTCTCTTTTTTTACACTTAAATTTATTTGTTATCGCCTTTTGGCGTGAAGTCGGGTGTTAGTTGTAAATTAATTCTTAGTATATCAGAATAACATTTCTTTATGCGATTATAAATTTTCCCATGTGTAGGACCACCACGGAATTCAATGCACCTAAATCGTGATTAATTATAATAAGCTGAATTCTTTATCTCTTTTTACACCATTGTAGCTGTCTTTAAATTTAAATGGAATTAACCTTGAGCATAATTAATTAAGTTAAAATATTATTAAGAAATATACAAGTATGTTTATCAGCAGTCTGGTAACCATAATACAGGCTCTGCCTAGTTTGGGATCAGACGGCCGTGGGTGAGATGTGTGATGTTATCACTATTATTCTTATAATACAAAAAAGAATTATTGGCGAAGAATGCCACAAATTGCGAAGATATTTCGTAACACACAAAAAAAGAACAGTCGATTTAAGAATCTCTCTTTTAAAATCTCTACTTACACCTATATTTACAGCCGTGAGTGGTGTGACATATATTTTTTTGTTATAGGCCTATAAGAAAGAAGGTATTCGCCGTGGAGTGTACCGTGGCTTCTCTTCCACGGTGTTGCGGGACTTACCGTTTAGTCTCATCGAGCTGCCTATCTGGGAATTTCTCAAAAATACCGTTAAAAAACACAACAATGGAGAAGTTACTAGTTTTCAAGTAAGTTAATTATAGTAGTGTTACTGTGTGTGTATATAAAATATTTTTTATTGTATAGAGAGCAACCGAGGAGACGCTTCACTTGAGTCATTACCGCCACTTCATCATCATCAACAGCTTTTAGTAGTCCACTGCTGGACAAAGGCCTCTTCTTTTAAAAGGAGGTTTTGTCCTACGATACCACACTGGCCGTCCGTCTGAGTTGGTATAGGGTTTGTTTCAAGTTTTCCTTCTCTTTGCAGTGCTGTTGTTCTGCGCAGTTTATACCCTTTGTCGGCACTCACGAGTCACGGGCTGAATAGGGGTGGTGACACTCCGTATGCTAAATACATCACCATACGGATAGCGGTTACCACACACGCACTGGATCTGGATACTTAAAAACTGGATTTATTGCCCAGAAAATAAGGAGACTCGATTCTTGGCATTCTGAGAGAAACTTTTGCTTGAAATTTCATAAATTTCGACTAGTTAACATTTGTCGTGCCTACTGGTCTTTAATAAATGCTGATAAACATTTCAAAAAGTCGAAAAAGCTCAAAAACTTTTTCTTTCTCCAGAGTGGTTTATGCGGCTCTGTGGCGGGTGGTATTGCAGCCGTAATCACCGCCCCCCTGGATCTGGCGAAAACACGTATAATGCTGGCAGGCACCAGCGGGAAAGCTGAAATCCACGATTTGAAAAAGTTGAGTGTTCCCAGGGTTCTCCGCCGTATTTATATGGAGTCAGGGTTCAGGGGGCTCTTTGCTGGAGTCACGCCGAGGCTGGGGATGATATTATTAGGGGGGTTGGTCTTCTTTGGTTTTTATGAGGAGACAAAAAGACGCTTTGAAGAATTTGTCAGGGAGAGGTGAGGACAAGGAGTTATTTAAAAAGTGAACAAGTTACCTAATTTTAAGTGGTTATTGGTGGGAGAAAAATGTGATATTATGTAATTTAAGCTTTAAACTTTAGGTATCTTCCGATGGTTAAAGTATTGTTAACAGATCTCGTAAAATAAGTGTAACATACTCGTACATATTTGCCGCACCAAGGATTTGGCTACCAGCAGAATCCGCTGCAAATACAGCGGTGGAGTTCCCTCCGCTCTCTACTTCAGCACTTTTGTCTGACCCTCTCCACGTCTACCTCTTCCGACAACAGGTGACAAGTAGTCCTGGGGACTTGAGGAGTCCCAAAATCGAAGTAAGAAGGCTGCCGACTAAGTAGCTTCTACTCTGCAGTCGCCATCGGATACTACACACATAGGACTGAACGACTCTGTTGCAGTCGAAGATGTCCAGGTGGTATCCAGGAAAAGAAGGGCTGCAACATGGAAAACAACTATGTTTTCCATGTTGCAGCTACAGCACCTTCCGTGTAAGTTGCTTTTTTAGCAGATACAAGACGGCGGAAAGTTCCGATGCCCAGCTATTTTCACCGCACGTGGTAAAAATTCAACCCGCCAATCACCAGATAGGACAGGGGAGCTACAAGCTAATGGGGCTACCCAATCGACCCAGGCTGCCTTCATCATCATTCATGCGCCATTGATGGTGCCTATTTTCCAAGCGCAGCACACCGTCTGGTTTTATTCGGATTGATTCCTAGATAACGATCTACGGCTAGTCCCCGGAGGCCTGTTAGCCCAAGTGAAGACCATCCCGGTGTTCCGCTAGTCACATATGACTGCCACCTATAACAGGCCAGTGACGGGCACCAGCGTCACCGGTGCGGCTAGACGCCCTGCGATCGCCAACCCGCCTACCCAGCGTGTCGACTATGGGCAAATCCTCCCAATGCAGATGTAACATAAGCCTTATTCGCTCCGCTATTCCTGGTCGTAGTAGCGACCACTCTAATGACAGGGTAGGGGGTGCTAAGAATCTCCGCGCCACAAGAGACTACCACAACCGACTGACCCTTTTTTTTTCTGTGTGGTAATCCCCTCGGATACCACCATGGTGGTTATGTCGGACTCGAAGCAACAACACATCATGCCGTGTCGGGTACCAGTAGCCGGGGAACCTGGTGTGCCCTAGGAAGACAATCACTGGTACCCCGACCTTCACGGCGTGTGGCATTGCCCCCAGCCCCCGCCTGAACATGGCTACGTATAACGGACGTACGCTACAGCTAGACTCGTATATTGATTAATTTATTTGTTGGTATTTGTAGATAAGTATTTGTGTGATTTTGAAGTAGACTGACAAAATATTTAGTTACGTTCGTACATTATATGATTAGTAAAATATACGTTATTTAATAATATTTAATTGTTATTATATACATTTATAGTTGCAAGGTATAAAAATCTTTCAATTAATAGTTAGTTAATTAATTATCTTGCTTCAAAATAGAGCTTCAGTGTTTATTTATTAAATTTATCTTTTCCATTGCTTGCCCGTTCTAACTCATATGATCCACAAAATGTTGTTCCGAGTCTGGGTGTTCTTTGTGTCCGTTCAATGTATGTTTGTAAAGTCCCCGCGACTCAGAAATATAATCTTAATGCGGGAGTTGTCTTTTTAAATCAATTTATTTATTCGTACTGAGTCCATAGTGTTAATATACAGTTTTGTTAACCTATGTTAGTAATTTATAGTGTTACTCTTTATTGTTTGATGTAATGTAGTGACGTTCTGACAAGGCTTTTCATTATAGTCGATTCATTTTTATCAAAGTGCACGATCGACTACAATAAGTTTGACTCTTACTAAGTGGGACTAATTTATAGTTGGGTAAATGGACGTAATGGCCTCTGCCTACCCATTCCTTGATACAGGCGTGAGTAACGTACTTATGTATACAAAATATTGATCAATTAGTTTTAAGAGAAAAACGTAAATTGTTATATTTTTGATAATGTGTTTGTATAATTAATTGTAAATTATTTATCATTAGCAAATATTTATTTGTAATTTAAGGTGTATTTATTAATTATTTAATGGTATTTGTTAACAAATATTTTTGTGATTTTTAAAGTACAAAGTAATCTAAGAAAATATGTTTTGTTATTATGTTTAAATGGAATTACCTATTTAATATAATGTTATAATACTGTGTTACATTTTACTATACAAAACTTTTATTTATTGTACAAAGGTGTACAAAGGCGGAATTAATGCCATGAGACATTCTCTCCCAGTCGACCTTCAGGTGATGTAGAAATATGATGCGGTAGGTAGGTTAATCGATCAACAGTACTTTAAAATTTTCTGTAAAAACTGTATGTGATGAAATTTTACGGTCTTGTACATAAAAATGGCTTTATGGCTTTTCAAATAGATTCACTAACCACTAGACATGGATATTATTGCTACTTTTAAATCATATTTATGGGTCTGTTGGTGTAGTGGTTGCTTTTGTAACGTGTTTTTTAGTTCTCTTAAACAATAATTTGAAAAAAATTAATCCTTATTGATGATTATTTTTTCATTAAAACTAAAGAAGTAACAAGTAAGTAACACATATGTTTTAGCACACGCCACTTAGTACCTGTAAAGTACAAAGTAATCTAAGAAAATATGTTTTGTTAGATTACTTTGTTATTTAAATGGAATTACCTATTAATATTACCTATAATATTATAATACAATACACACAATATTTAGGTATGGAAAAAGCCGTTAATCCTAAAGATCCTGATCAGGATAATCGGTCAAATTCATCAAATTATTTTTTAATAGATTTTTTGTTCAATTTAATTCGACGTTTTGTATTGGGTCAAAACCACGTTCGAAGATTCCGTTACATACATACATACCAAGCTAATAAAAGCGTGTTAAACCAGTATCCACTTCTTCCAGTGTCCATTATCACGTACCAGGAATAGCCTTTCTAGGTTACACCTAGTTCCATCACTATGTGATATGCAAGTATTTGTTTCGAAGTTTGGGTGTTTTCTATGTATAATATGTAAGTATTTACAGAAAAAAGTATATAAGTATTCTATTAGTTAATCTAGTTTTCATAGTACAACCTCTGCTTAGTTTGAAACTAGATGGCGTTGTGTGTCAGATGTCCGAAAATATAAGCCTTGTAGTATTTTCATCTAAATATATACATATGGTGCCATGATTTCAATACTTCTGTGAGTAGATTAAAATTGTTTACTAAGATCTATTTACATACTTAAGTGGTAGGACTAAAGTTTATAATCAGTAAATTGCAAGCGTATTGTTACGAGCGGGGTATATAATAAATAAAAGTTTTCGGTTAATTACTTTATTGCACTGTATTTACAATATATATCTCGTAAGTCGCACTAGAAATTCACTCCGATGTTAATTCGCTGTGTCGTAAAACGATACTATCCCGAACGGCCAACTCGCTCCGCTTTTATAGCGCTATCGAATTTCCTAGAAAGATCCCTCTAGATCCAGACAAACAAGAATATTCCAAAATCAGTCACGCGTTACTTGCAGCGCCATCTAGGATCAGAACTACTCGTATTAACCACAATCATAATAGATGTACTTTTGTCGATACTAGATGACGCTTGTCCTCCACATTCCATACAATCGAACTATTTAATCCTATGGCTCAACAGTATAATACGGCTGTGTTCCCCTTCGAAGATAAAAGACGTAACTTTATGAATGATGTATTTGGTTAGTATCAAGTGCAACTAATAAAAACGTGTTAAAAACTAGTTGTCCTCAATGATGTTTATATGAAGCCGAAAGTATATTTGCGAAAAAAATTTACAAGTGTTTAGATTGGTTTAGAGCATTCGTTCAAAATTTTACACTACACCGGAATAGGTCATCTCTAATATGCCTCTTCTATAGTACCTTGTGCTGAAAGTGGAGAACTGAGGTCCTGATGCAAGTTTATTTTACGTCGACTCGCTCTCGACGGCAAGCGCGTTTAGCGTTGCTATTGGTGGAGATTTCAGTGCCGGCCAATCGTAGCGCCAGACGCGGTCATTGTGTCAATCGGGTACAAGTAAAATAAACTCGCAATTGGCTCTAATGAGCAGAAATTTACTCTAACTGGAAATGGGTGATAAAGACGAAAAAAATTGCCTTTAAATAATCTTTATTGCTCAAAAGTAACCACAACAATTTTTATACATTTCTTAAACAAGTTTTATACAATGATATACATGTTACCTCTTTATATATTATACAGAAACCTACAATATTCGAATTAAAAATTTTAAATTGTTACAATCAATCTAAAATTTACCTTTTTTGGACGCGATCAATATATTTGAAAAGTTTTTATGCGAACTTTAAAATCGATCACATCCAAAACTGTTAAATATGATATTAGAATACCATTTCTAAAATACTGTTAATTACACATTTACCTAATTACAATAATTGTGACATTCATATATTTGTATTCACTAAGTAAACATACATACAACAATTTACATTAAAGTTTGGTTATATACTTGAGTTTATAATTATTGACGCCAAAATTTGACAGGTCTTTGACAGTGTTGCTATATCTAAAACGTTTTGGTAGATCTACCGATTCCATTGCCACACAAATCTTTTTACTTTATTCGGTAGTTACAATACCACGGTTCCTGCCGAGTTAACCTGACAGCTGAGTGAATTGACAACTGAATTTAAAATTATCCAAGGTAAGTTAATAACTTGTGTTAAGATTTGATCTTAACCGTTTTAAAGTGCATAGCTTTCAAGTTTACACAATTTTTGTCCTGAAATAAAAGCTTTTACAGCTCTAGGGTTGCATATGGTTTTACACGTCTTCCAACTTACACCACTGCCATCTTAATAGGTTATCTGTATTTTTTTTTTAATTTGAGCTTGCAACACTGGTATGTTATTTTTTTGAATTTCGTATTGTAGAGATATTGGCCATCAATTAAGAACATTTTGCCACACTCGCTTACTCTATGCAAGTATACAATCAAACGCAAAGTTAGTTACTAATTAAAATACGTACTTTTAGTCATGTGCATTTAGGTAGATAATTTGAATCAGTCAGGTTTTCTGTAATTAAAGAGCAGTTTACTTAATATAGTTTGAATTTAAATTTCGAATGCAGTACAATAGAGGGAACGTTATTAGACCATAAAATAGTACTTTTCGATTTGAAAATAGAACATATCACTTTTTTTTTAAACTGTTGACTTTTTTGCGACTGCACACGTCTTTTGGGATTTAAAGATGTGACAGCACAGTAATTTATGGTCTAGGATTTTTATAGTATTTTATACAAAGCTTATTATAGTTCAGATATTAGGAATCGATAAAAACCCTTTTTACATAGAATCGGATAAAATATTATAGTATATAAAAAGTAATGAAAAGATTTTTTTTGTAATTGGAATATTTTGAATACTTATTAAATATACTTACAATTTATTATAAATCTAATCTCAGTAGAATGTTGATATAAATTATAAAACAAATATAATATATTATGACTAATAAAAGAGTTTGGTTAGGTTGGAACTTTTTGGGTTATACTGACAAGAATGACCCAAAAAAAACCGACAACATTTGAAAATATAATTAGTCGATTTCACTCTTATTTGTGACATGAATTCTTGTTTGATAAACTAAATGGTCTTTTTTATATAATCTGTATTATGACTTACGAAATAGCTAAATCATTATTGCCGACATAAACCCCTAAAAGCAAATATTAATATAATAATATAGAACGCGCTTATTAATAATTTAAAAAGCTTTATAAATATTTAAATTTGAAAGGAAATATTTGAAACTTATGATAGTAAATGTAACTTTGGAAATTCATAGCCGATATAAAAGTCCCATCTAACTATATATTTAGAATCTAAATATAATAGTAGCAAAATTGCCTTGAAAAAAAATTAATATCACTGACCCACGTTTTGTTACACCTATATATAATTTCTATTTATGAATTAAGTGACCGTTCATAAGAATGTTTTTGTTTGTTTATTTCCCAAATTAATGAGTCCTAAATAAACAAAAATATGTTATATTTTTGTATGTTTGAGTGAACGTGAAGTATTAAGAATCTAGAGTTAGTACTTAGTATTTAATGCAAAAAAAAGTAAAGTTTTTGGTGTAAAATGTTACAAAACGATTTAAATATTTGTAGAAATTTGGGAAAATAGTTTTAATTAAAAATGAAAACAAAAGTATCTTTTTTCAGAAATTTGTTAAAAGTGATAGTTATCGTTATTTTCTCTACTCTAATGTCGAATGTGTATCAACTCACCCGGGTTTATAGACCGGGTGTCGGGGAGGAGAGGCGAGGAGGAGTCGAGGCGATACAGGAGTCTATCTGAAGGTGATGTTGTTGGCGGAGGCGGCGGTGGGCGCGGGCGCGTGGTGCGCGCGGCGGAAGGGGTTCCACGACGGCGCGCGCCGCGGGGACGAGCGCGCGGTGGGCGCGCTGGACCCGCTCGACGCCGACGACGCCGCCGACACCGAGCCCTGGTTCGAGCTCGACTGGCGCGGCGCCTCGGGGGAGGGCTGCACACCGGGACAAACGATTGTCAAATGTGTCAACTTATTATTAGTTGGTTAGCTTTACTAAAATATTATATTAAATTAATAATATACTTAAAAATCGATGTTTATGTTAACGTTTTTTTTTGAAATTTCGATGAAAAATCTAGAACAAAAATTATTACAACGTTTCGAAATTTGCTTCAATTTTGATTTGTACGGTGCTCATACCTTGAGACTGCTCTTGTCCATTGGGGTGGCCAATTTCATAGTGAGGGTGTCCCCAGCCTGTTGAATGAGGCGAACCACCTCCTCGTGTGAGCTCCACTTGACGTCTGTGTCCCCGATGCTGATGATGAAGTCTCCCTCACGCATACCACCAATCTGTGAACATAGCAGAAACGGAGATATATTACACGAAAGCCATATTGATGTATCTGAGGACCGTTAACCTAAACCATGGAATGTGGAACTTGGTTTTTGGAATCACTGGGAAAGAAGAAGAGATCAAGGTAAACTGGGCATCAGAAACAAAACTAATGGACGTGCTTATCACACAATTATTTGTTCTAGGTAAAAAAATCGGTTGTCTGTAAAGTCGGTTTACTGACGATAGTTGAACGTGACAACGTCATATGAAAATACTGATGGAATGGTTGCATTTTTCAAAAATGTATTATTGTATACGAGTAGCAGCTGTCCACGCGGACGCATCGCTCACTCAAGTAGGAGAGAGACAGATGTCGAACGCTGCCGAACGCGGAGGCCGATTGTGCCTCTTTGTCACTCGTTCCGCGCTCTCGCTTGCACTTCACGCCTTAAATGGAACGCTTCAGAGCGAGGTAACGCCGCATGAGTCATGTTTTTCGTGCGTGCAGCCGGCTCCATCGAATTATAAGACGTTGTCACGTCAAAATCGAACATACGACCTCTAGCCAGTCGAAAAAATCAAACGTTCATTAACATATTATTCATAACGGCATAAATATGTAAGAACAAAAACATTTGATGATTTTATTAAATTAGTAAATGGATTTATTGAAGATGTATACACGCAACTTAAAAAAAATATGAGTATTATCAAAAAATAAGTAAATTATGGAATACTTACTTCCGCTAAAGAATTAGCTTCAACTCCAGCAATGACCACAGGAGCATCGCCTCTCACAGAAAACCCGAATCCTTCATCATCTGTCTTCGCATTCGATACATTGTATTCACTAGCGGCCCTCCTCAGGGGGTCTTTCCTTCTCCCATGTTTTTTGACCCCATTCTCTTTAACTCCATTCTCAACTTTACCATCCTTAATTTTATACTCAATTGGAGAATCGTAATCCAAAACTTTTGGGTGATATTCATAATTATTATTATTATTGTTATAACTATTGATATAAACGCCATTTTGTTTTGTTACCCTATGAAGTTTTTTCTTTTCATAGTCGTTAGTATATTTTTCATCGCTTCTAATTATTTGATTGTAATAGGTAGTGTTGTCTTCTGATCTGTCTCTCTTCTTGCTACTTCTCGTTTCGTCGTATTCTTCTTTTCTTGGTCTTTCTTTGCGAGAGCCGTCCCTGTATTTTTGTAGTTGGACTAGTCTGGGTGCGCTCCAATGACGTTTGGCGGAGAATATGGCGATGGGGCCTAGAGATTTGAAGAGGTCTTCTACTCTGTGCTGGGCGAAGTCTGGCTGGGTTAGCGCCAGTTGAAATTTTGATGATGCTGTTAATTTGATAAGGTTTCATCATGGTTATTTGTTTAAGTTTTAATGGCATTCGCAATAGAATATTTGAATTAGTAACTGTTTGAGACATTCAAAAAACCCTAACATTATTACAATCTGGAAACCCAAACCCTTATGAAAAGAGCCCTAAAATAAATACAAGACTAGACAAAAATACTATAAAACTAGACATGACCCAACAGGGCTACAATATCAAAGGGTGTATCGACATGTAGTAACGGTATCTAATTCTATGAGATTAGTAGGTGACGCCGTCGCAAACCATACACCGGTACATCCCTCAATATATTTTAAATTATAATCTTTTAGCAGTTATTGATAAGTTAGCTCATCTGTCGTAATGACTCACGTTGTATATTAGGAGCGTCGATCAGATCAGCGAAGTCCTGCGTGTCTTTGTCTTGGTGTATGGTACGTTCACGACCCGCAAGCTCCAGTTGGTCTCTTACCACCAGCGATATGGCTTCTTTGCTGCGAAGTTCTCTGGAATATGGCATATAAGCGCAATTTGGTAAATTCCAGCAAGTACATCTATGAACAGACGTTCTGTATGATTACATACAAGGGACTACCTTTTGTAAAAGTTTTAAACTATTTTTTCATTATGTAATTATTTTACCTAGTGACGAAGGGCTTTTCCACTTTTCATGAGTTTCATGTGTTTGAATCGTATATAATATTGTTACCATCGGTGAAGGAGATTATAAACTGGTAAATAATTTGTGTAGATAATAAATAATAAAGGACCAAGCACATCGCCTTGTGGCACACCACGGGACTATACGTCTTGTCATCAGTACGTAATAAGTACATCATTATCATTGTCTACATAATCAAAGGCTTTATAATATCTACAACTTTAATATTGGTATTTACATTTAAGAAAAACATGAAAGCATTTATTTTTATTAGTTTTACTAGCTGACCCCGCAAACGTTGTTTTGCCATATACATTTCAATTTTTTTTGTAAAAAATAATAATATTAGGGGTATAAATAATAGATGTGAATAATGTGAATAATAGATGTGATAGATATTATAATAAAAGTGAACAGTTTCATAATTATGTTAAAGAATATTCGAAGCTGTTTAGGAAACTTTGTAAACTGGCTAAGTCTCGTTTTATTAGTTCAAAGATTAAAAGTAGTAATGATAAGATTAAAACCACTTGGAAAATTATTAATAGTGAAACTGGCAAAGATCCAAACCGTAATAATGAATTTAATTTAAACATAAACAATAAATTTATCACATCAAATGCTGAGGTTGCTGCTGCATTTGAGAATTTTTTTACTAACATTCCTGTATCAACTACTAAATCTTTGAACTCCTCACCATACCTTGCAGAATCAATTTTAAAAGAGAATGTTAGAAGAATTGATAGTGAATTTAAGTTCCAATATGTGTCCCCCTTTGAAATTATTAAAGCCTTTAACACTATTAATGTTAAAAAAACAACCGACCTATGGGGAAATTCTGTTTTAATTACTAAGACAATTATATCTCTTGTGGCTAATCAATTGTCATTTACATTTAATCAATGTGTTGATAGTGGTGTATTTCCTGATCTTATGAAGTCTAGTAAAATTATTCCCTTATTCAAATCTGGTAGTACATCTGACCCAACTAACTTTAGACCTATCTCAGTACTACCAGTATTTAGTAAAATTTTTGAAAAAATTATGTATGATCAATTGCACAGTTTTTTAATAATAATAATTTATTGCACAATAGACAATTTGGTTTTACAAGGGGTCGCTCCACAACTGATGCTAGTGTTGAGCTAGTAAAACATATATTTGATGCCTGGGAGGATGCCCACGATTCTCTAGGTATCTTTTGCGATTTATCTAAGGCTTTTGATTGTGTTGTTCATGAAACGCTGATCAGGAAATTACAGCACTATGGTATCAAAAATAAAGCCCTGGAACTACTTGCCTCATATCTATGTAATAGGATTCAAAAAGTTGATATTAATGGTGAGCGGTCTCCAGGCTCTGTGATAGAAATGGGCGTTCCACAGGGTTCTATTCTCGGCCCTTTTTTGTTTTTAGTATATATTAACGACTTACCTCACTTTGTCAAGGACAATCTCGAGATTGTGTTGTTTGCAGATGATACATCACTATTATTTAGACTAAAACGGACACTTTCTGATTTCACATTTGTAAACAGCGCCATTTCGAAAGTGGTTCATTGGTTTGATGTCAACAATTTACTATTAAATGAACAAAAAACTAAGTGTATACGTTTCACTATGCCAAACGTCAAGCCAGTGAAAACTACTGTGATAATTAAGGATGTCGGGCTGGACCTTGTGGACACTACGACATTTTTAGGTATAACACTAGATGCTAAGCTACAGTGGGGCCCACATATTGATAAATTGTCGAGTAGACTCAGCTCAGCAGCATACGCAGTAAGGAAAATCCGAGAGTTGACTGATGTTGATACAGCACGACTTGTTTACTTCAGTTACTTTCATAGCATAATGTCGTACGGTATTCTGCTGTGGGGGAATGCTGCCGACATTCAAACTATTTTTGTGCTGCAAAAGAGAGCTATTCGAGCACTTTATAATTTAGGCAATCGTTGTTCATTGAGGCAGAAATTTAAAGAAATAAATATAATGACAGTGGCAAGTCAATATATTTATGAAAATGTAATATATGTTCACAAAAATAAAGATAGCTTTTTGAAAAAAAGTGATGTACATGCCATAAATACCAGATATAAAAATAAATTTGTTGTACCCGCCTCTAGGCTCCAAAAGATAAACAAGTCTTTTCGAGGTCAATGTGTCCGATTTTATAATAAAATCCCAAATAATATTCAGGAGTTGAGTATTAACAAATTTAAATCCGCAATAAAACGTGGCTTGTGCCAGAGGGCCTACTACTCGATTGTGGATTACATGGAGGACAAGAATGCTTGGGATTAATTAGCGCAGGCTATTTCTTTCTTTCTTTCTTAAGTAAAAATGTGGTGTGGCTAGTATGTTTTTTATTATTTTTTCTATTTTTTATGTTTCACTTCATTTTCTCTTGTATTCGTTTGTTCTTCTTAATCTTGTTTTCTCTTCGTTGTTTTTTCACCTTTAAGTCCTTAATAACGGACATACTAGCACACATCAAAACAATGTTGTGATATATTTAATAGTGCCATTGTATCTACTTGTGAATTGCAAAAGAGTGGCCATGAGTTTGTTTGCCCTTTCTTCTCATAAGGCTCAACCCCTTGGAAACGGGCGGTTGTAGATCGGCACAGGCATATCATAGATTTTGTATGGGTTTGATTTTGTTAAATTTATTTGGTTACTATTTGACAAAACAGAGATTGTTGCTTTTGTGTGTGTTGATCTATGACTTTAGAGTCTACATGGAAGACGATTTCAAACAATTTTGAAAATTTTATGAAATAAAGAAAGTTTGAGTTTGAGTTTGAGTTTGATGTTGGATGTCCGATTCTCAGACCTACCCGATATGCACACAAAATTTCACGAAAATCGGTAGAGCCGTTTCGGAGGAGTTCAACTTCTAACACCGTGACACGAGAATTTTATATATTAGATTAGGACTATTTAAAAATATATTTTAACCATAGGCAACTATGTACCCCATTGTTTGAGATAATTAGTCATCTACTTCCTCCCAGCTTGTCTACATTAAAATCCAGAAGGGTCGTCTAGGATATGGATAAAACAAACTGTTTTTGCAATAGACATAGACTTCCGAAAATACTGACCGACACATTCTCTGCAATCGTAATGCTTCCTCATATTGTGTAAGCGCCTCTGCCAGATGTGCCCGACCAAGTGCCAAATAGTCTGGATCTTGTTCTTTCAAAGCTGCTGACAGAGATGAGCCTGGAATTATGAAATTGTCTGTTAAATATAGTCCAAGATCAGTGATTTTAGGGCCGTTCTTGAAGATTTAAATTTAGCAATCAACTGACTTCCATTGTGGTTTAGATATCAAAGGGAACACACCCGTGGAGGACAATAAGGTTGTCTGTCCTAAACGTAATATTAAAATCAAAAATTGAAGTAAACTAAACTTCACTAAAAGTGAGTCGCACCATAGGCTGATAGTCCTGTAGTGGAGATCGTGATTGGTAAACGGAGTGTATGACGTCGTCCATCAAAACGGGCAGATAACCTGAAGAAGTTGCGGTACGTAAAAGTACGAATGTTATGGCTCATACTGGTAAGGACTTGAAACCTACATTGGATTGGCTCATTGATTTATAAACGTGGGAGACTGGCAGGCAGGCCGTGATATCACCGGAGTGATACCACGGCCTCACAGAAAGTCGGATTAAGCAGTTTTTTCAGCTGGTCTGAAAGACCAGCAATGGACTTGTTACTCGTGAGTTGCATATTCATGGGCGGAGGTGGTCACCTACCACCGGGTGAACCGGGTACATGAGGGTTTGAGTTGCTGAGAGTAGAACTCACCATTGTCCATGTTCCTGTCAGTGTCAGGCGCGTACAGAGCTGCGAGCCGCTCCCGCGAGCGCTGCGCCGCCGGCATGTTGAGCAGCCCCGTGGCGCAGTACTGGTGTGCTAGCGCTGTGGACATTGCATCAGAATCCATTAAATAGTCATAGGATAGTCAGTAACCAAGCCTTTGCCTATACCGGTAGAAATGCTTGTCACTGGAAGAAGATGAGGTTTTCCGGTTCATAGATGAATGCACGATAATCAGACAAAGATAAATAGTGGGCATTGAGGGATCAGTACTGTTCTCCTGTTTCACAGACACAATACTCGTAGATTTCATCACCAATACACGTGAGGACGTAAAAAGAGGTTTCAAGATGCAATACCGTTTGTGGTCAATATGGTATTCAAGTTATGTTTCTGCAGAGTCGAAAGACTGTTCATGTCAACAATTTCTTGCATCCCGGGTCTCCTGCCTGGTGACAGCAGTATTCCATGTAAAAAGAAACTTATAAACACATGGTGTGCGCCATTTCCAGTGTCATTAATTATCCGTATGGTGACGGATTAAGAATACCGAGTATCACCACCCCTGTTTCTCAGGTGGGTGTCGTAATAGCTGACTAAGGGAGTACTACGCAGAACAACAGCACTGCAAAGAGAAGGAAACCTTGAAACAAACACTAGAAAAACCCGTCTGTCCAGCGTGGTATAGTAGGTTAAACCCTCCTTTCTAAGGAAAGGCCTATGTCCAGTAGTGGACTGTTAAAGGCTGTTGATGAAGATGATAAACACATGGTATGTAATTTCAGTCAGTTTGCTCAACACACCAATTTTTTGAATACCAGTTTTAATTCAGCGGTCCCATTACTACGAACCTCAAATATACTTGGACACGGTGATATAATTAGAATGAAACATCGTACATAGCAGATAGATTTTCAAAGTTTTAAAGACTGTAGAATCAAGATCACAATTCTAATACCTTTGAAACTCTAGCTGGTTATTGTGAGCTCTAAAATATACTAGGAAAGTTAGAAATACCTTTATAAAACTCAGTCTTAACGTGGACTAAAGAAACCCACGAATATGGCACGTAGTTGAATACACCCTCTGTTTGCATCTGAAAACAAATGAAGTACATAATAAATTACCTTTTTTTTATATTGTGTCCAACAGCTAGACTTGATTGGCGTTTCTGTCAGAGATTTGGCCTGATATTTTTTATAAAATTCGACTGTTTATAAAATTCTTGTTTGTTTGTTTTCCTTTCTAATCAACAAAGCGACAATTTAACGAATAAACGTTTGATAGATACTCCGATGTACAATAATGCACAATGTTTTATAAATACCTAAATAAAATAGAGAAATATCACTCGTATTTTATTTGGTTTTTAGTGGTTGGTTTTAAACCGTCACACGACAGTAGAAAATTCAGCACTTGACACCTTTTTTTTTTTTTTTTTTTTCCGTGCGGAAATCCCCTCGGATACCACCTATCGGTTGCATGTCGGACTAAAACCGCACGCCGTCTCGGGTACTAATAGCCGGGGAACCAGGTATACCCTAGAAAGGAAGTCCCTGGTGCCCCGACATAGCACTTGACACCTGACTTCACTGCAATAGAGAATGCGTGTCTTAAACTGAGATATGTTTTGGTGTTAAAAGATGCTCTGATAAGGATTTTGCAATAACGCATAAAAGTTTTATTGGTATAATTTTTTTGCTCGAAGCTCTTAAGGAGCGTTATGTATTTGGCCAGAGTGTATGTATTTTCGTTTCTATATCATCTCGTAACTACTAAAAGGCTGAACCGATTGTGGTAAGTAATATTTTAGATGGCCTAGTATAACTATCAAAATTATAACAAAAATGTAAAATAAGATGATTTATCATTTATACGGAGTCCAGTTTTACGTTTTATTTAACGACTCGCTTCGCCCACGACTACTACCCGCTACAGGTAAATTAGCTTGGAGAAATTTTTGCGTTTGTAGTAGTGTATGGTTGTGCGTGTTTCCACTTTCCACTATCAAGTGACGATTTTTTGCTTTAGATTGAAATATCTCGGAAACGGTGCGTCCTAGGCCAAAAATAACAAAAATTTTGACCCCCCCGTAGAGCCCACGGAGTTTTAAAAACCTAGATGAAAGGAAAAAAAAAAATTTAAAATATCGGTCTCTCCTCTTTGAAGTTTCACTTCTATCGTGTGTGAATCGCACACACACCTTTTTTTTTTTATAAAGTCAAAACCTTTTTCTTTAAAATAAAAACTTGTTTTTATTGAAAACAAAAATCAGAGTGTTGCTAGGGATAAGTATAAAATTAAATAGTAATGTTAGGATATCGAAACATTTTTGTATAGGCCAGTACGATATAGTGGAAATGCGCTCTAAGATCTGAGTAATATACACACCACTACATATGCAAAAATTTCTCGAGACTAATTTCACTGTAATATGGATGATATGAATATTATTTATAGCCTATAGTACTCAAGGTTAATGCGGCTACATATTACTGAGAGAATTGCCAAAATCGGTTCAGTAGTTTCGAAGATTACATACAAACAAATTTTATATATCTCTGTATAATATTAGTACAGATTGCTAGTAATAATATAATTTTATTGTAGGTACTACATTAACACAACGCTATCTAGTCACAAACTAAGCAGAGCTTGTACTATGGGTACTAGAGAACTGATATAAATACATGTATTCTTTTCTTTGTAAATACATACTTATTATACATAGAAACACCACACACAAATGTTTGACTTGAGCGGGAATCGAATCCGCGACCTTTGCCGTGGGTGTCGTAAGAGCCGACTGAGGGCGGAAAACAACGCAGGACACCAGCACTGCAAAAAGTAGGAAAACTTGACACAAACCCTATACCAACCCGTCTGGCCAGCGTGGCCAAAACATCCCTTCTAGAGAGAGGCCTATGTCCAGCAGTGGACTATTAAAGGCTGTTGATGATAGTTCGAGCAGCCGTACCTTGTCGTAGAGTTGTCGGTAGGTGTGCGCGAGGTGCGCGCTCTCGTGCGCGAGGTCGAGGCACAGCTCGGGCGCGCGCCGCAGCTCGCCGCGCGCCTCGCGAGCCTGCAGCTGCAGCTTCTCGAACAGGCATTCGCGGGCTTGTGCCTGCCAATCACACACTAACTTATATACAATTTTTTCTATTTATTTCTTAAAAAGGGCAACTCCCGCGTTAGGAATATATCCTGTGACTTTACAAACACGCATGGAACGGACACAAAGAACACTCAGACTCAGAACAACAATTTGTGGATCACACAAAGTGTCGTCCCAATTGGGGATTGAACCCACAACACTAGTAGTAAGTGGCGTGGCGACCGCTTAAACCACTACGCCATCCGTAAGTCATCAGTCAGAATTGACCCTCTAAAAAAAGCTTGCCCAAACTATTGCTGCATTGGAACCAACTGCGGGGTTTTTTTTTTTGTTTAATAAATGCAGGCACCCGCCATCGCAGGGTGTTGCTGGCTTCTAGCACCTCCAATATCAATATGGAGCCTATTACTCACTCTATCCATTCATTCTATTTTTATTTATGTGACTGGGTAATTGATTATGGCACTAAGGTATTTCTTTATTTATTTACATTCTGCTTTTTAGTACTTATTTGCTAAACTTAAACTAGACATTTCTTACACTAAATTACAAATTTATAAACAACATATATCTATCTGTTTTTACAATATTATACTATACTATTTGCTATCTATTATGTTACTATATTTAATTACTATCTGACCCGCGCAACTTCGTCTGCGTCTCTCAATAGTAATAAATTTTCTCCGTTTTTGAAACATTCTTCATTGGGGCTCCGCTCCTATTGGTCTTAGCGTGATCATATATAGCCTATAGCCTTCCTCGATAAATGGGCTATCTAACACTGAAAGAATTTATCAAATCGGACCAGCAGTTCCTGAGATTAGCGCGTTCAAACAAACAAACAAATTCTTCAGCTTTATAATATTAGTATAGATGATAAGCAACAACTCCGGGGTTTGCGGCGAGGCGGCGTGCCGGAATCGAACCGCGTAAAACCACACGGTGTGTCACTTTGCGCCCAGAATAGTAGAGATCCGGGAATAGCATTATTATATTAAAAAAATTATATAAAAAAAAAAGAAAAAATAGCATTATTAAGGCATCCGGACCCTCCTAGTACATTAAGATTCCTTTTTTTTAGCACTGGAAACCTAATTAAACCCCTCTCAAATTATATCCATCGCGTCTTCGATTCTAATTTAAAAACGTGATTCGGTTTAGTTTGAGAATATCGACTTAACCTTTACCGTAATACTTAAATCTGCTAAATTGGAAGCTCTGCTCCGTTGTACTTGTTCACGTAATAGCTTTATTTTGAGGCAATGGTTGGCACCATCAACTACAGTATGTTTTCTGTCTACAGTTGGTTTTCGTCAGGATAACAAATTCTGAGGCTCGAGTGTGAGTTTATTACACATCGATTTATCGACACACACTCGAGTGACACGGTGAGCGCGGTCGGCGCTGCGATTGGTCCGCACTGAAATCTCCACCAATCGCACCGTCGGACGCGCTCGCTGTCGAGAGCTAGTTGAGGCAAACAGACTTGCACTAGGCCCTCTGATTATGTGAGGAAATAAGGAATCCTCGATTGTTTAAAGCTACCATTTTCTCCAAATAATACATATAAATTTGAGTCTTACCAACAATTTAATCAATTGACTACCAAGCCATTAAGGTAGCCTATTTTGAATATTACAATACTTAAAAGAAACTAAATTCAGAGATTCTTGTAAAGAAGAAATAAGTGTCTTAATTTATTTGAGTATTATTTAAACATAAACTTGGGCCTAGTATGAGTTTATTTCATATGAACTCGATCATCACGGTGACCCGCACTGAACCCTTCGCCAATTGCAACGCTGAACGCGCTCGCCGTCGAGAGCGAGTTGATCTAAAATCTATTCACACTAGGCCCCCTCATGTTCTTGAGTGTTAGTTAGCCTTGAAAAGTAAAATCAATATCTAAGAATACTCGTGTCTCCACTCACAGTCATCAAAGCAGCGAGGACCAGCAGCGTGTCAGCCGCCAGGTCGACGGAGGGCGCGTTGGTGAAGTTGTCGAGCACGTAGCGCAGCGCGCCCGCCGCTCGCAGCCACGCCTCCACTCCGTGGTCTAGCCCTGAACACGTTACACGGTCCTGGGGAAACCATATTTTCATCTATTTTACTAAGTTTTAATTAAACGGTTGGTATTGTGAGCTTCATATACTAACACATGCACATGAAAACAAAAGATGCGACAATGCAACCACTGTCCTTGTTAGTGACCCTGACTACCTGAATCAGACATCGTGGTTTCAATTGCCACCCAGGGCACATTATTGCTTGGCGAACACGATTATTTGTACCGTATTTAGAAATATATAAGTGTGTTTATCAGCAGTCTATATCATGTATCATGTATACGTATGTTATGTACCACGCAAAGTGCCTAAATAATATCTTGTTTTGTTTGGATTGATGACACTCCAGAGAGGATTTAGAAGTCAAACTATGACGGCTAAAAGAGCTTTATTAGGTCTAATAGTTGCCAAACATATACAGGGTGTAAGGGACGTCGTAACGAATACTGAAATAGTGTATTCAGACCATCATTCTGAGTCGAAAATTAAACTTTTTAGACAATCCGCTGTCACAGGTTAATGTCATTCCCTGTAGGTATCGCACAAAAGTAATAATTACATGTGTATTCCGTGCAAACAGTCTACGCACACTAACACAAGTCGGCGGCTAAAGACCCCGCGCGCTTCGGCTGTTTGATTAATTACATTGCAGTTTTTAATCGTATGCGGTATTTATTATTGAATTATTGATGAATTTTGATATTTGTTTAAATTAATTATGTTTAAATAATTATATTACTTTTTTCTTCTATTAAGTACACATCATGACTTTACCCTTACGTTCTCCACTATCCTTTTTTCACTCTAAGGGTTCGCTGGAAGAAAACTCAGTTTTGGGTTAAGCTCGCCTTTGTACATATACTTTCCTTAATCACTTATTTAATATTAATGTGTGTACAATAAAGAATAAATGAAATGAAATGAAATATTAATTTTTCATAATTTTTAACCAAAAAATGGCAAATTATAAAAAAATATGATTTTTCCGCCGATACGACGTCCCTTACACCCTGTATGGAGCTTAGTCTAACACGCACTTGAGCAGTACTCTTTTAACTATAGAGTTACCTGTTTAGCACCAATTTGTGTGTAGATGCCAGCTATGTTGAACAAGACACAAGCTTTCTCAAAAGCCACTGTTCGCTGGCACGATGGGACTCCTGCAGACAAGAATACACTTTATTTATGTATATTTATTTATTTAATTATGTATCCGTGTAGTGACGGATTAAGAATACGGAATGTCACCACCCCCATGGGTGTCGTAAGAGTCGACTAACGGAGTAAACTGCAGGACGACAACACTGCAAAGAGAAGAAAAACTTGAAACAAACCCTATACCAACCAGTCTGGCCAGCGTGGTATAGTAGGCCAAAACCTCCTTTCTAAGGAGATGCCTATGTCCAACAGTGGACTATTTAAGGCTGTTAATATTGATTGATGATGTATATTTAAAATTTTAATCGTTACTTCACGATATAATTAAATGACACGCCCCGCGTCTCCTTAAATGAGGCCTGAAGAGGATACAGACAGACAGACAGACAGACAGGAACACTCGCATTTATAATATTAGTATGGAAATGAAATAGTTACCTGTCAGTGAATCGAACCACTCGAAGTAGACACCAAGGCTTCTGTCGGGCGGGAAGAACCGTCGTTCGATGAAGTAAAGCTGGTTATAGTACTTGAAGAGCAGAGCCACGCCAGCGTTCGACCGGACCGGGGTACGCATTGCCTGAAGAAGAAATCAGCGTATTAAAAATGCTTGTAGAGTAAATTGTTACTCTCTTCGTAACGTTACGGGTGTAGTAACTGCACTGATCCGCCATCCGAACAGTCAATTTTTTTTATATCATTAGTTAACCCCCGACGCGAAAACGACAGGGTGGTTTAAGTTTGACGTGTGTGTATGTCTGTGGCATCGTAGCTCCCGAAAGGATAAACCGATTTTGATTTTGTTTTTTGCTTCAAAGGTGAATTAATCGGGACTGTTCTTAGCTATGTTTGATAAAAATCGGTCAAAGATATCAGCAGTATTATTATCATATGATAATTACCTGTCTCATATCCATAAAGTCCGATATAGCGTCTTCGTAAGTCGTAGCGTCTTCGCTGTAATGCTCCAGAATGAAGTCTTTGAACGGTTCCCTGAAGTCTACTTCCTTGGTCTCTTTCAACCCCAGCGGGATCATTGGCATTACATATTCTCTGCTACTGTGGATTAAAACATATATATTATAAGTATGCTTGTCTTACGTTTAAATAAAACACCTTAAACTTTAAATAAAATGAGTTCACGGCTGTCAGCTGTTAGCTTGTTTATCGGTTAGTGACGTAACCAATCTGATAGCTAATTGTCACGTGTTAATGGTTCCTTTTTCTTTTTTATTCGATAAAATTAAATTTATTATATGAAGTTTTTCATTTAAATTTCATTACAACGTAACACAAATTTGAAATTAGTAATAATATTCATTCATTTATACATTATGCACTATTGGTGCATAGGCGGACTTAATGCCCAAGGCATTCTCTACCAGAGCACACATCACACACGGCCGTCTAATCCTAAATTAGGTTTAGGAATAAATTAGGATCAATAACCACTGGACCAATAGGCCAGCCAATATCAACGTCCCTTTTGGGTAGTGGTGGATTATAAAAAGGACACTTAGAGCGCAGCACAGTGGTGAGGCAACCGCTTCATTCAAAGGGCTAAACATGCAATGCCTTATTATATTCCTACATAGAACAGCACTGTAAACAGCCACGCCAGAATGAAGAGAGGCCTACACATAACGGACGGACTCTAGAATGTGACAGCCTGGAAAAGACCACGAACGCAGGGCTTGCATCTTCCATGGTCTTTTTGGCCTCTTTTTTTTCTTTTTTTTTTGTTGACGGGGTGGAAAATCCCTTCGGATCTCCGGTTCGGCGCGACGCAGGAGCTAGGAGTGTGGTGTTTCCACTAAAAACCACCCCGACAGCCGGTCTCAGGCGCCCTGCCAAGGGGAGGACCCGGACCATGTCATTTCAGGTCCCCCCGGATCGACGCCGCACCTAGCGAGGCCCTATCCCGGGGAAAGAAGACTTCGCCCGCCTATCGGCCAATCCTTATAATATGTTGCGGCTCTTGTCTTTATAGCCTAGTGACTGTCTTTCAGTTTATAAACGTCATATGTAATTATTAAACTATTCATACCTTAAACTTACGTATATTCACCGAAGTCTTTTATCCTCAGAGGTCTAGACAGAGACGTGTTTTCGACACCCTATATGGTCAAGCCTACATCATATTGTTGCGCCATAGGATTAAATGGTTCTACTGTTGAGTCGTTAATTCATGAATAATCGAGAGCCATATGTAATCTTGACGACAGCGCCATTTGGTATCAAGTAATGCGCAACGAACACTACGCGTTGAGATTATGATTCATAACTCCGATACTTGCAGCGCCATCTAGTTTCGGGTACCAGAAGATTATTGGTATTGGAAAATTCCTTATCATATGGAACGCTCTAGCGAATTCTAGGGATTATTCTTTTGGATTATTATTTATTATAAAAGCGGAGCGTGTTGGCCGTACGAGCGTGTATTGTTTTACGAGACAGCGAGTTCTAGTGAGACCAAGGAATTATTTAGTTATTGTTTGTAAAAGTAAGTGTTTATAAAAATACAGTGCTAATTTTGGTAACTTTTTTTTATAGACAACTCCCGCATTAGGTATATATCCTGTGTCGCGGGGGACAAACTTACATGAAACAGACACAAAGAACACCCAGACTCAGAACAACAATTTGTGGATCACACAAAGTGTCGTCCTATGTGGGGATCGGACCCACAACACTCGGCGTAGTAGTAACCGGCGTGGCGACCGCTTAAACCACACTTAGTAATTAACCGTCCATTTTTACACGCTTTATATTAGCTTCACTTGTATGTTTGCATGTTTGTTGTAACCGATTCTTTTGGGCGTGATTTTGACTGACTTTAAACGGTCAGAATTCGTTCAAACTTTGTAGATATATCGAGGACCGATGACAATAAACTAATAAAAAAAAAGTATAGTTTAAAAAACTAAAACGCACGCACGCACGCTTTTTATAGAGAACCAAACTAAAAAATAGAAAATAAATTTGAAAAAAAGCGTTGGGTGCCTGTTGTCAATAGTAAAAAGCACCCCACGTGTTTTTAGTTTTTTTAAACTATTAATATTATTAGTAATATTATTGCCGGCTCGTAACAATATCTTAAATTATCATTTTATTTAGAAAATAACGATCTAGAACAGGTTCTTGTTACCATGATCAGTTATGCTATTTTAAAAATGCAACTCAATGGAAATAATAAATTAAGTAAATGACATTTTCTGCAACAATTATTATACAAACAGAGCATGAAGGTAATTTCTCGGCGAGTAACAAAGTAAGGCACGGGTATGTTATGATTGTAACTCGTTTAAGCCACTTATATGTGGTTATAAAACAATTTAAATACGTCACCGAAGATTATAAGTCTACAATAGACATACAATACAATAGACTCCGATCATTCGATTTTTAGGTTAGGGTTAACAGTAAATCTAGTATTTTTTAAAATTATTATGTAGGGAATGGTCATCATCATCAACAGTCTTTAATAGTCCACTGCTGGACATAAGCCTCTCCTTAGAAAGGAGGTTTTGGCCTACTATACCACGCTGGCCAGACGGGTTGGTAAAGGGTTTGTGTCAAGTTTTCCTTTTCTCTGCAGTAACAGCACTGCAGCACAAGAGGCGACTAAGGGAAAATACTACGCAGGACAACACTGCGTAGTATTTTCCCTTAGTCGCCTCTTACGACACCCACGGGATGAATAGGGGTGGTGACACTCTGTATTCTTAATCCGTTACCACACGGACGATAGGGAATGGTAGCTATATATAATAAAATAATTACTGAATTTACTGTTAAATAGGCGAAGTAGGGTCTTTATGCATCGTCTGAAAACAGCACAGCAACAAATCTAATGATAAATCACCGGTCATTCCCAGTTCACTGTGGTTTTGTCCTATGTCTAGTCTACAACACACAACGCAAAGAGTCGGTCGCCACACGCATTTTATACGAGCACACAGGGCCTCAATTCTGCAATTTTATGTTCACGCCAAGCCACTGTCATACCACTGACACGCTGTTGAGATGCCATCGAGTGGCCATTGGCATCGGTATAACCTTTCCCAGGACCCGGACTATCTTTATACCAAATTTCGTCTAAATCGGTTCAGCGGTTAAGCGTGAAGAGGTAACACACAGACAGAAAAACACACAGACACGCTTTTCCTTTTATAATATTAGTATGGATTTACTGACTGTTCACGCCCCTTGAGCTTTCACTGAGAGACTTTTAGGTATTTAATGGCAAGAAATGAGAAAAAGATTGTTCATAATTATTATAATTAAAAACTGGTTGGTTATTTGTCAGAAGCTAAGTTTTGAATATAAATCTAGTTATGTAATTTATAAAATGGCGAACTAAGCATGCATCAAGAGTTATTTCTTCTAAAAATATGCTTTTACGTAAACAAAAAAGATGCGTGTGATTAAATATTATGTCCGTGTGGTGACGGATTAAGAATACGGAGTGTCACCACCCCTATTCATGGGTGTCGTAAGAGCTGACTAAGGGAGCAAACTGCGCAGGACAACACCACTGCAAAGAGAAGGAAAACTTGAAACATACCCTTTACCAACCCGTCTGGTCTGGTATAGTAGACCAAAACCTCCTTTCTAAGGCCGTGGACTGTTAAAGGCTGTTGATGATGTTGACAGAATGTACCCTAATTAAAATATTTGATACAGTATTTGTCTAGGCTATTTACAGTGGAGCGCTACAGAAAACAAAATATAATAATGTATAAGCTGTATAATTAAAATTATAGATTTAAATCAAGGTATAATAAGCTGTTTATTTAAAAATATTACGACCAAAACGACCTTTTTTTTTTCTTTTCCGTGTGGAAATTCCCTCGGATACCACCTATATGTGGCATGTCGGACTCGAACCGACTAAAACCGGGGAACCAGGTATACCCTAGAAAGGAAGTCCCTGGTGCCACGATCAAAACGACCTAAAGAAACTAAACATATATTAATAGCTAGCTAACCCGTGCAAGTTCGTTTGCGTCTTAAAATAAGTATATTTTCGCCGTTTTTGCAACATTCTTCATTAATGCTCAGCTCCTTTTAGTCGTAGCGTGATGTTATATAGCCTATAGCCTTCCTTAATAAATGGGCTATCCAACGCTAAAAGAATTTTTCAATTCGAACCAGTAGTTCCTGAGCGCATTCAACCACACGAACAAACACTCTTGAGCTTTATAATATTTGTATAGAAGTAATGATTTGAGCTACAATAGTTTTTTAAACATAGATGATGCTTAATTCCATACTAAATGGCCCAGTTTGTTTTTTTTTTCTTAATTTTAGAACATTAACGTTTAGATTTGTTATGATAGTTTTGCTGTTTGATTCCTCTTACCGGCTGGTGAGTGAAAGGCGATATTCAAGAATGACTTAAAAACCTTGATTGCATAAGTCGGTAGGTATTAGCTTTCATCAATCATCATCAACAGCCTATACTAGTCCACTGCTGGACATAGGCCTCTCCTTAGAAAGGAGGTTTTGGCCTACTACACCACGCTGGCCAGACGGGTTGGTATAGGGTTTGTTTCAAGTTTTCCTTCTCTTTGCAGTGCTGTTGTCCTGCTTAGTTTGCTCCCTAAAGTCGGCTCTTACGACACCCACGGGATGAATTGGGGTGGTGACAATTTGTATTCTTAATCCGTCACCACACGGACTTTAACTATTAATGATTCATCTAGATAATAATTGCTGAATACTTTACAAACAGGGGGCAGACGAGCAGACGGGTCATGTGATTGAAAGTAACCATCGCCGCCCATGAACGTCTGCAACTCAGAAGTCACAAACGCGTTGCCGGCCTTTTAGGAAGGAGTACACTCTTTTCTTGAAGGTTTGAAGGTCGTATCGGTCCGGAAATACCGCAGACGATAACCCGTTTCACAGATTGGTTGTGCAAAAAGTGTCTCGAAAAGCGCACAGTAGTGGAGCGCCAACAACAAATGTTTTCGAATCACATTCCAAGATTACGGAATACGTGTTTATAAGAATATCAACATAGAACTAACAGCAATTTTGTTTGTTTATTTACG